TCACAGCAATACAGAATTAGTTTTACTAGCTCACTAACCCCCATAGGTAGGATGGAAGGAAAAGTGGCATAAAAATCTCCACAACTATCTAGGCCAGCCCACACCAACGATGTACATTTTGAGACACCCTGTAAGCAGTCAGACCTTACAGTTGGTAGAATTTGAAAAGGTAATTTCTAGCTGATGTGAAGGCTGCCATCAAACCAAGACATGTTACATCACGGAAAACTGACACCTGTTCCTAAACTGATAAAATGTGATATGTGTCCAGCTGGGCACTTGCTTGTGTCAGCTCTATAAATACACGAAACAAAGGAACTTGGAAATTAAGCCCTGGAAGGCTGACATCTCATACAAAGAAGGAAACCAAGCCAGAGGTTTACAGATATCTCACAATTCTTGTCTAAGGAAAGTTATTCTAGTACTTGGAAACCCTACATCATTTACTTCTGCTCCCAATGACTTAAGTCCTTAACAACACTTGAAAGCTATGAGTTCAACTAATTGTCCTCTTTACACAGTGTATGGCTGTAGAATATGTGGAGTGACTACTTGGGACTTGGGACACTGAATCAGTAACCTATTCCCTCCTCCTCTAAAGAAGAGAAGACAGTGGATGCACCATGATTTGTGACAATGGGTGCACTTTATGAATCCCAAACCTATAGACTTGGCTAGTAAAAACTTGTAAGTCTCACTGATTACTCAGTAATTAGATTACTGCGACCTTTTTATATGTCAGATGTATAATATAAAACTAGAAATATAAAAGTTAATAGACTAAAATTCAACATCTGCTTCTACAGTGGTGAATAAAAGTGGTAAATGAAAATATTACAGATATAAAAAAGAATTTATACCAGGCTAAAATTCCCTCTACCTCAGACACTTTTCCTGTGATACAGTAAGCTAGTTTTACTGTAGCTATTTCACTCTACTGACACTAACACAGACATTCTTTGTAACAAACTGAGTGATATGGGGGTGGGTGGAGGGTGTGACAAGATAAATGACACAGAAAAATGGAGACACACAGACAGAGAGGGAAAGGTAGGGATGTCTTGAACCTTATTTTTTCTCCATTCTGAAATTCCTTTAATCTACATTTATAGCATATAATCTTGTAAAGACCTCACCTGTTTCAAGCAATCAAAAAATGAAGAAAAAATCATAGGCACAGTGGCTTTATAAGTAGCCTTTCAGTCTATAGAAAAGTTTAAAATACAGATTTCAAGCACTAAGTCTTTAGATTAAACTTCAGAAACAGGCTTTATTTACATCTAGAAAACCCCCTAGATTTCTAGATTTTCCTTTAGAAACTCATCTAATTGCTTACCTTGAGAGAGCTATAAATTTCAAGGTTAATTTTTTCTTACGTTGGTCACAAGATTGACCAATACTGACCTTTTTCCCTCCAATTTAACTAAAACACAGTTCTAACTAAACAAATAATTCTGACTCCTGAAAAAGTTAACGCAGTCATAAGGACTGCAAAAGATAGTGGCAAAGAGCTGTTAACTGGTATTACGCTACTAATCCAGACAGAAGCTTACAGGAGGATGTATGTCTAATTATGGTTTTAACCGGAAACAACTATGGACTTTTTATCTATGTAGGACCCCACTCACAGACATGTGGTTTGGAAGGCCTATCTCATAAAAAGCATCAACTCTTATGTCCACTCCTTAGTATACAACTTGAATACGCAAGAGAAGACTGAGGTAATATTCTTTTGTAGTATCTGACCTACATGAAAACAGTAGTGTGCTGGACTTTGATTAGTATGCTAAAAATTACCTAACAGTTTAAGATGAAAACCTTTTCCTGGCATAGCCTGATTTAGAGAACAAAGAGTATCTTAACTTACAAATTCATTTAAAGATCCACACTGAAATTCACAGAACTCAATTTAACACCATAAGTTTAACACCTTAGTTTCCAACACGATGATATTGCGTGGTTCAAGGAAGTTTACTATTTGCACACACCAAAACAACAGCTCTGTTTTACAAAGCACTAACTAAACAGGGAGAAAACCTGTCCTAAAATCCTCATCAACTACAGTCAAAAAAACCTTCAACATTTTCTGTCATAGAACTGAAAGAGATGAAAGGTCAACACTGAGGTCTTCGTAATCAGCTGAAACCTCATTTTTAAAGGACTGACTTCACTGGATAAATACTGGCACCTCAGATCATGTTTACATGTTTTAACAGGAGAACACATGAGAATCTGCTACATGACTCTTGGGTATGTCCACACAAATGTTATCTAAACACTGCAGTTAGTATTTATGGATTTCTGTCTTCTGTGAAAAATACCATTTCTGTGAGTATGTCGGATGTTCTCAGCTAAGATACTGTCTTTTTAAAGAGTGTTCTGATAGAGAGCAAAACCACGACAGCACTGTGAAATCAAGCTTACTGTGCTTTGATAAGAGAAAAGCACTGCAGATGTACAAGCTGCACCCTTAGCAGGAAAGAAAAAAAAGAATTCATCTCATGAGAAGTCTTGTGAGAAGTCTTGTAAGAAGTCTGAAAGAAAAACCTTTGTCAAAGAAACTAAACGTTGGAAAGAATGGCAAAAAGCATTTAGTCTCTTTATTTAGCATTATGTGAAACTTTAAGAATCTGTTTTACTGTTGACACTGGCTATATGCTCCAACAGTTCAACCTTGCAGTTTCAAGAGGTGCTTTGACATGACTTTGTACACACTTTAATGTAATACTTCCAGAGCTCTAGGTCCTGGTGCTCCAGGGCAGTCAGGACAACACCTAGAACCAGACCTCTGGCATTCCATGCCGTTATATGAGTATAAAAAAAGATAAGCCAGGACTTAAGACTCACACAGTGCTTGATATGAAGCTATGCTTTTGGTTAGGAATTCAAAAACTACATGTTTGTAAATAAACAATGAAACCATCATCTTTATATAAATAAGCCAAAAACTTGAAGACCTTGGGAAGCAGATATTTTTCAGTTTGCCTCTCTTTCTTCACATTCACTGACAAATATTCTTCCCACATGTAGTTAATTAAAGTGGGAGCTATGAATGTAAACACTATGTGCTTCCACAGTTTTTAACACAGATATATAATTTCTCAGAGTGAACAGCAGCTTCTTGTGCTGTTGTCATACAATATCAAAATTATCTGAAGACGATGAGGAAACTGGAATATTGCTGCCCTCAGAGTTCCTGGAATGTCTGTACAGCAAGATCTCCAGTACACTGTAAAATAATTTAGGCTGGAAGGGATTCCTGGAGGTCATCTGGTCCAACACACTACTCATAGCAGGACCAACTTCAAAGGTGGATCAGGTTGCTCAGGGTTATTTGAGTTCAAGGATGGAGATGTCCCAGTTTCTGTGTACACTGTTTAATCAATCTCATCTAAAGAAAGTCTACTATCTATTCTATTTGCCTTGCTGTGAACTGTAATCTGCAAAAAAAAAATCAATAACCTACAAAACAAAATGTACATACAGAATTGTAGCATGGTTTGGCTTGGAAGGGACCTTAAAGATCATGTAGTTCCAACCCCACTGCCATGGGCAGGGACACTTTCCACTAGACCAAAGTCCCATCTAACCTGGCCTTGAACGCTTCCAAGGATGGGGAGTCCTCGACTTCTTTCAGCAAACTGTTCCAGTGCCTGACCACCCTCAAAGTAAAGAATTTTTTCCTAATATTCAATATAAACCTGTCCTCCTTCAGCCATTCCCCCTTGTCCTATCACTACATGCCCTTGTCAAAAGTCTGTCTCCAGCTCTTTTGCAGACCCCTTTGGGTACTGGAAGGTTGCTCTAGGGTCACCCAACAGCCTTCTCCAGGCTGAACAATCCCAACTCTTTCAGCCTGCCTTCATAGGAGAGGTGCTCAAGCCATGTAGTCAACTTAGTGGCCCTCCTCTGCACTGGCTCCAACAGGCCCATGTCCTTTCTGTGCTGAGGGTCCCAGAATTGGATGCAGAACTCCAAGAGAGGTCTCATTGGAGCAGAGTAGAGGGGCAGAATCACCTCCCTCGACCTGTTGGACACGCTGCTTTTGATGCAGCCCAGGATGCGGTTGGCTTTCTGGGCTAAGCCAACTAGCACATATTACAAATATGGGAAACAGATACATTGTCTGTAAAGTTACTCAAATAGTCTTTAGAAAACAGTATCCAATTGGTCCAGAAGGCCAACAGAATATAAATGTCAAAAACCCACTTCTTGATACAGTATTATTCTTGCAAATTCTATTCACCTCTGTTGTCAGAAGCAGAAAACTTGCCTGTCATGTGGATAGGCTTAATACCTGACTGTGCAGCTCAAATGTTGTATGACTGAAAACAAAACTCAAGAAGCTCAATAACTATAGAAATCTGTGACGAATCAGCTGACATGATTAGAGTAAAAATTCTACAATGAGATTTCTTACAGGACTAATTTTAATTTCCACCTCAAGTAAGATTTTTAAAATATACAAAATACATTGCCTATTGAAACAGTAAATATTGTAATTTGAGGGACATAGCCTGTTGCTTATGCTCACTCTCTAAACACAAACTTGTGTTTAACATCAACTGTGTAACTGAGCTTGCTTCTGTAACACCTTCAGAAACAAATGTTATGTAAGTGTGAATCCATAACCTATGTCAAAAGGCTTAAAATTTATCTTGCCTACTTTTAGCAGTCTAAAAGTTAGCCTGGATTTGTTTTCCAAACTATCTACTGTTAACAGAGATAGTGTAGAGTGATCTCGCATATCTCAGGATGAAGCTTCACAAAGTTCCATTTCTCTCCACTGTTTATCTAACTCAGACCAGGCACCTAAGAATTAGACTGCCTACCTTAATTTCATCTATTTTGTATATTTAAATTGCTGTATCTTTAAGGGGGAGAACTAGACAAAAATATCGTAGTGAGAAAATGCACACAAGCACACCATATGATTCCAAAGTGATCAGCAGCTTAACCAATTAATTTTTTGAAAATTCTGTAACAAATGCCTTTTTTTCAAACAGAGCACTAAATTAGTCACAGCTTCAAGTGAAAACATGTACAGCAAGTTCAAGTCTTTAACTGATCACCAGACCAACATATATACAAAAAGCATAATTTAATTATCATCTTTTTGCAATAAGTAAGCATTAACAATGAAATATTTAACTGTCACAAGTCTTTATGAATATCTAAAAGCCTAATACAAATATCCAAATTATTAGTAAAGATTAGTCATTTGAAATGTTAACAATAAGACATTTAGTAACTCTGCATTAAATCTAACAAGCCCTTTCTAGAAGAATATTAATTTACAGTCATTCTTTCTAACAACTCTTTGTACAGTAAAAAAAATTAGATTTGTATTTTTCTGCTTCCCTTTCCCACCCAACCACCCACATAGTTTTGCTCTCAGACAGAGCTACTAGCCAATCAAACCTGAAGGTAAAATTCCTCTCAACCAAGGGTCCAAGATCTCAGTTTTAGCATCCAGCTCAAATGCTCTTTGGGAATAAAATCCATGTTTTTGTATAATGTGCAAAGTGCAACTTTTCTCCAGTGCCACCAGAAGTGTGTGCTGCTATGAACTTCACCAAAGAATAAAACAGTAACAATTAAGACTTTTCAATTTCCAATCACTCTGTAACAAATGTTAGATGATGTTTACAGGAATGACAGATCAAGTGGATTATTAGGTGCTTATTAGGTCACGTACTGATTTCATTAGGCCAAACCAATGTTTTTACTCAAGTTCTTCAGTTTCCTCTGTAAAAAGGTCAGCCAAATCTGCCACTGTCAACACGGAGGCTTCTGACTGTTTCATGGAAGAGCTTGTGTGACTGTGGGAAAAAAATTGCATGCAGGCATCAGAGAAAGAATCAATGTCAGTAACAAGCTGTGTGTACTGGAGACAGATCACACAGCTCAGAGTCAATAACTGCTCAGCTTTGAAACTCATCAGGAAAACCATGTACACTGATCAGCTACTGCTCTTGTACATTCTAAGTAAGATACAAAGTCCATCTACTGTCCCTAACAGTAGTCAATGCCAAACACTGCAAAGGCAGCAGAACATGGGATAATATGCTTTGCCCTTCTAACATTTAAGGGACTGTCTTCAGCTTCCATGCATAACATTTAATATTGCTTTCAAAACACTATTTCTCATGGTATCATTCAACCACTGTACATTTATCCAAATTTTATATGTAAAATAGTGCTACTTCACAGATATGGAAACTGAATAAATCATTCTTCCAAAGCTAAAACTGAAATCTTTCGTAACTACAAAGATGTGCACGTCCATTTTTAGTTTCATAATCTGTAACCAGCAAAATTTCCCTAAACTAAGGCCTCCTCCTAGATTTATCATGCGTATAAAATGTATAAAAGGTACAAACCTCTTACACTTTCTGCATAAAGAATACCCTTTTTGGTCCAGGCCCAGTCTGTCATTGCTTATAGATTTTGGAAGGATAAACACAGTGAAAACTACTTCTGTGTCTACACAGCAGCCTGATCTATAAGTTAGCATCTGGGCAATGCCTGCACAGACTGCAAAACCAACCAATGGGACAGAGCACCGTTGGACTAACTTGGTAGAATTTAAATGTAATGAAAGGAAGAATCCATGTCCTATATTAGAGCTTGTAACACATGTCGTTGCTCCAGTGGCAGGCTTAGTATTACTCCATCAATTGCAATGTTCTTATACTCATGGAAATACGTAAAGTAAAAAGACAAATCATAACACATAATTTATTAATTGGGCTTTTATAAGATAAAACACACAAAATGTAACCAAAATACTTTCCAGAGAATTAAAATACCTTAAGCTTCAAGTTACTGGAACCAGGTTAAAATTTTTCAAGTCTTAAAACTTTTTTGCCAATCACAACAATTTAAGGAGAACAGTTGAGGTTTATATACAAAGATACGCATGCCTAACTATAATAAAATTATGGTTGAGAACCACCTTTTCATTTTCAGTGTAATAATGATGTTTTAAAAAATTCAACACATACCTTCTATCTACAGTTTTCAACATAGTCTGCATTCTCTCTTCTATTGTTGCTTTTATCAGGAACCTGTGAACAATGGTAGATCTGAATGTGTTTAAAAAAAGAAAACAAGACCATAAGTGAGCAGAAGTTATACTGTTATTGATGAAGTTCATGACCATATTTTGTCTTATACTAATTCTTGTAAGAATGTTGAAAAAATGCCTCTATTTTAAGAAAGAAATCTTAAAGGTGATTAACAACTTCCACTGACATTTCAGGGTGTTTAGTGCCTCCCTGAGCACACACTCACTTGGCTGACCACATACTAAATGAATATAAGCTGTATTAGCTAAAATCCCAATGCAGATGCTGGGCAAAGTTCTACTTTCTGTGTCCCTACTATAAATAAACCCTCCTCAAGAGCCTAAAGAAATTACTTTGGCCCATTGGTGATATACAATATTTATCCTGCACTGCCACAAGTTGTTCCAAGAGAAAAGAGCTCAGTGTGATGGATTATCAAAGCTGATTTCCAGAGTTTTAACAATATTATTTTTGAAGACAGCAAAATATTATAATTTTTTTTTAAAAAGTCAGTAATTGTAGTCAGTAAACACGGAACTGTAAACACTGGTAAAACAAAAACAAAAATGTCAATAAACATAACACAAAATGACAACTCCATTTATGAAATAAAATTTCAGAAAGAAAAAAAATGAAAAAAACCTGCCAGGCACAAGAAAGTGAAATGGAAAAGAGTCAGCTCCAAAGATAAAAATGAAAAATCATCCCAGGCTCCCCAGTATAAACATTTTTCGAGATAAGAACCTTGAAAGTGCTTAGATAGTTTTCATATCTTCAGCTGAAACTTTGGCAGGCAACATTTCACAGAAGAATGCACGGGGAATACTTTGGGATTCATAGGCAAAGGTCTACCCCAAAAAAAGAGAAGTAAATAAGAACTCAATTGGAGTGGTAATAGTTGCATACAGGAGTATTCCCTTATGCTCACTGTACTTAGAACACAGCCCTTTTTCAAATAAGCCTTGCTGAAGTCTTAATTCTTAAAAAGTACAGCACATTCTTGCTGCTTTTATTGCAAGGCTTTTGCCAGACCTTTTATGCCAGCATCATGTAAAATTACAATCCGGGCTGTTGCAATCAATCTTCCCTATGTGCTCACAGTTAATTCAAAATCTTTACCAACACACACAAATATCCACCTGTTCATGAACATTTTTTCACATACATGCTTCTTCATGTCCTATCTTTGCCTTCATTTCCAGAACACAAACCCCACTATTATTCTAGAATATTATTATTCCAGAATTGAGTCCAGCTATTTTTCTCCTTGAAGTTCCAGGTTTTAATTTTTTTTCAAGTGACATGAGACCTAATGAAAAACATATACATCTTATATGTTCAGGACAAACTTTCCAAAACCTTTAAGTCTTCACCACTACATGTGTAAAATCAACAACATTGAAACAAACAAGAGATATGCAAACTCATTAAGATCTTCAAAGAGATCTAGATGGGGATGAGGGCAGAACTGTGATTTAAAAAAACTAATCAGTTGTAAAGTGAATGTGCTATAACTTTCTTTTTGGAAAAAAACCCAACCAAACAACCCCCCAAAACAAGCAAACAGAAAACCCCCAACAAATTTATGTGGCTCCTAATCTGGAGCTGAGAATGACCAGTTAGAAGGACCCTCTCAAGGAAACTCAGGCCATGCCTGAACTTACCCTCATAACATAAAGGATGAGTTGCTTGGACATGCAAAGCTAAGACATTTCTGGACATGTTTGCAAGCAGAACTTCAAAGTTAAAAACTAAGGCATCAATGGCACACATAAAACAGGGCACCAGATGAACAAGATTTTTCAGAATTTCAGACTCAAGATCTTACACTCTTTCTAAATGGCCCAAATGCAATTTGTTTCTTGTTTCTGCATCTTACCCCTGCGGCACAAAACAACTCCCTAAAATAGACAGTGAATTTTCAGCAAACATTTTTTAATTTAATCTTTCTGTCCCTTTTATGATTATCTTTAAAACCAGGGTTCCTATGAATAACCCCATCTCCAAAATTGAGAAGTTCAGTGAACCAGATTTATTCTGATTACAGTATGCAGATCTATTCTAGACCATATCTAAACAATTCAACATAATTTTAAATCTTACTTTGTTTGGCCAATACGATGTACTCTGCCAATAGCCTGTAGCTCATGTGCTGGATTCAGAATGGGTTCCACAAGCAGAACGTGAGTTGCTTCGATGATGTTTAGTCCATTGGAACCAGTGTGAAGAGGCAGCAGCAAAATATTGATGTTGGGATCGTATTTAAACGCAGAAAGATTTTCCTAAAAGGCAAACATCACAGCAGTGGGACAAAAGCTCCTCAATGAAGAGTGTGGAGGATATGACTATATTTTCCAGAAATTATAGCAGCTAATACAGGCTCCAGAGAAATAATGTTCATCCCGGAACAGATACTCAAAATATATCAGGAAGGCATGAACTTCTCGCAACACTGATCAGTGTGTCTCATCCTTAACAGACAGGGCAATGCTTCTTTCTCAAAAGTGAATGTACAGTTCAGCTTCAAAAGCTTTAAATTGGGGCTTTTTGTGATTACGATTTTTAGAATTAATGAGTTGGAGATCCAAGCTTTTGCCAAATAAATTTGCTGCTCTTTTAGATTCTCAAATGAAGTAATGAAGTAAAAGGATCAAATTAACTTCTACGAACTATGATTTTCCCACTGAAAATAATTAAATAAAAATATCCTTTATGTACCTGAAATTTACTAATTCCATTGATCTGAGAAAAAATCATGTTGTTGTCATACAAAGCTTTTGAAATTATATCCAATACATCTTGCCACTGTAAAAAAAAAAAACGAAACAAAAACACACAACAATAAAAGTAACTCAACATTACAAACAGCAATGACAACTAAAAAATACTAATTAACGTCCCTAAGAGAGAGTAGATTAAAAACCTTTTCAAAATACTAGCATTTGCAATAAAAAAAAAGAAATAAATATTTGTGTGCTAGGAACCAAATCTTTCATAAAACTAAGTAAGACATGTAATTAAAAAGATCAGCTTGAATAAAAGAAATTGGCAGCCATCATAAAAAGTTTTACAATATATCAAAAACATCTGCACATTACATTTAAAAATATCAAGAATTTCTAACACTCCCATGCAAAACTGAGTGTTTGCCCTTTAAAGAAACAAGCTTTTACATCTGCTGACTATGATCGTTGTTCATGTCCCAGTTACATGACTTGCCCTACAAATTCTCAAAACAATCAAGTGGCTGTACGGAGTGATTCAACTTTCTGGTAGCTAAACTAATTCCTGTAAATATTATGAATGCTTTAAACTCACACACACAAAGACAAGACAGAAAATGATGATTAATACCGTTGAGAAAACTAAGGATTTAGCCCCTGGATCTTTAAATTGAATTCTCTTCAGTGTTCGGACCACAGCTTCCACTTTGGTGGAGTGACTTCCCTTCGAAAAGTGAAAGAAGAGCATTAGTAAAGTAGGATAGTAAACAACTTCCATATTCACGGCTTTATTAAATGATGTTATATTAGGTCTCTTACATATCTTACACAAATTTAAAAACTTTAAAGGAGAAAGGGCAGGTTAAGTAGCACTGAACTCTTTTTTATCTCTCCCTTATAATGCACTGCTATAGGATCAGCAGTGTATTACAGCATGTGCAGCACACTGAACAATGAAGCTATGTGAGGCAGAATAGACAGCCCAAGGAATGCAGTTGCACCAAACATGCTCATTAGGCCTCCTATGTCTTAACTTAGTGGCACAGTCTTCAGAGAATCTTCCAAATGCACATTTAAATTTCCCTACCTTCACACTTCTCGAAAATTGACTATGAAAAAAATCTACCTGAATGTTTTTTCTGTTGCTTTTGTTTCTCATTCTGGCAACACCAATCTTATGTTCAGTACTATGAAGTTTGTTAATTATATTTAAAATAATAAGAAAAGTGTAAATATAAATAATTTTTTAGGAATTGTGCACTGCAATGAAAACATCTTCATATTCTGCATTCAGAAGTATTTCAGTGCTTAATTAACCCAATACTATATTCTACTTCTTGTCCACTTTGATTTATGTACTGTTCCCTTTCCCCTTAGCCTATAATTTCTTACTAGTGCCTACATGCATAGTAATTTCAAGCTGTGCTAGATTCAGCTGGACAAATACGGTTTTATTCCTGTCTGCACCTGTCTTTTGAACATTGAATTAACTATGTTGGCTTGCTACAATGACAGATCAAATTTACTGAAGTCACACTGCTTGCAGAATTGGCTGGGAAGGATGTCAGCAGTCTAGGCACAAGCTGGGAACCAAGGCTGTGTTGCTTGATCATTCACATATTAGGCAGATAAATGAATGCTCCAGAAGTACATGTAAGACTTTCTGCAGACTGTTTTACCAAAGGCTGCAATAAGCAGTACCATTTTATTTCCCAGGGTCTTCCACAGGGATTCCAGACATAGAAATAATAGAAATGTCTATGTCACAGACATAGAAATAAGCCAGCTTTCTTCCATGTAATTTCTGTTGCACCTGATAGACATTAACAAAGTCAGATGGACAATTAACGTCAGCAGGTGTTATGATCTGAAGGATGACACATTTGCAGCCCTATGGCAGCTGCCTGCCAATCATAAATACCTATAGTTAAAAGAGAGTTAGAGACTAACTTTTAGTACTTCCTATATAATTCTAGGGTCATCTATGTGCTTTTCCGATACCATTTATCTCTGATTCAGATGACAGTTCTGGCTAATCTGCTCTGTCTTTTCCTCAGAGACTGTTTTTAGACCTTATCACAGGTCCTATTTTTCCCTGCTGTAACAGATAGTAGCTTTAGCCACTGTTGTTGATTTTTCCACCCTCCAGATTCCTGTGATTCAGGTGTCACACAGGTGACTTTGTACCAGATCAGTAAGAGGAACTATGGCAAAGAAAAGAACAGCACAATGATCAAAGTGGTCACAGTCTTTTTGCTTTATTTTTTAAACAGGAGAACTGAGGGTGCAAAGTTCTTTGTTCCTTTGCTTACATTATATTAGACAAACTATATTAGACTTATTGAACTAACAGTTGACTAAAGCTTTGGTTCACAACACACAAAAATTTCAATTTTGTTGAGAGATGGAGAGATGAAACTGACAAAAGTACCTTTGCTGTTATAAGTCCTTAGTTTTCAGTCTGTCTTAAAAAAAGTTATCCCACTCATTACCCCTATACCATGAGTCTGTCTTTTCGATGAATACTGAGATGAATATTTATAAAGAAATTAGTTATGAATTATGGAACAACACACATTAGAACCAAAACTACCCTCTAACAAAGGGTCTCAGGTGACAGGCTAACAATAACCACTGTAATACTGACCAGACACAGGAAACTTTCACAGAACCAAAACATGCAGGGATGCCAGTAATCTCTCAGTATAAAATGCTCCCATTTACAGTAGTCCTTTTGCATTTAAGGCATTAACTTAAGATGGTTAGTATTGGTACAATAAACAGTAAGATGCAAAGAAAGAGACAGTGAATACTGAAAGAGACTGGAGGGATTAAGAAAGCTCAGATTAAAATAAAAACACTGAATAAATCACACACTTCTTGTATAAATACTAAAAGTTATTGATCTTAACCTCAGTAATCTATAGAAACCATACAAAGTTATTCTTTGTTAACTGTTCCTAAAGGAATATGAGGTAGAAATTTTTATTTTTAACAAAGCTACTTATTTTGATAGTACATGAAGCTATAGCATAAATTCTTAATTTTTCATGAACTAAGAATGATCCTTATCATGTGAATTCACAAAGAATTCATATTTTTGCTTTATTTTTGCTTTTTTCCAAAGTCTTTGATGCAGAAGTATTTCAAGAAAACATTACAATCCTGTATGCAGGACAGCAGATGACAGGTTCCTTCTGTGTTCTATTAATGAAATTTTGTTATTCTAGTTATTTTATTTTTTAATGTAACTTATGAAACACATTTGGAATTTTGTTACAAACAGAGTGATATCTCTAAACTCAGAGGAAATAATATGTAAAAAGCCTTGCATGAAGTGAGGTTCTAAGCAGCAGCACTTCAAAAATACAGCCTATTTACTCCCCCTGGTGCTACATACTGTCAACTACTTCAAATCTAATAATTTTAGTTAGGAAGCATCTACTCATAAAATGGAATTCCATTTGTCCTGAGAGGCTGAAATTACTAGTGTGAATGTGGCAGCAACTGTCTTCAATACAGGCCAGCGACCCTAGAAAACCTGCAAGATTTGAAGAGATTTGCACAGATACCACGGAAGTCTGTCAGCACAACCAGTTATTACGTTTAACTACTCTAATCAGATTAGACTGGTATGTCCAGCTGTATTATAATCATATTTTAATTAAAGACAGCAGTATCATTTAAATCAAAATATTACCAATATGTTGTTTACCTTTGCATTTTAGTCCAGAATCTTCTATTTTTCCACAACTGCAATAACCACAAGGGTTTTTTTTGTTTAACACTATTCTATAACATACTCATGCAAAGCGAAAATGTACCTATGCACTATGTCAGTATTGCTAAAGACTCATGGAGATGCTGCCTCTTCCTCCACCCCTGCCTTTAACACAACAAAAAAACCCCTGTTAACAAGAAAAGTAGATAAAACAGTGCAATCAGGACTGAATTCCTACCCATTTGTGTCTAGAAGTTTTTTCATTACACATCCTATTTATAAAACTATACAGTAGCCTTGTCTGCCTAAGTGCAGGATGCAACAAAAGACAAAAAATGTGCACTGCTGAAAGTTTGGACCACACAGCTCCTATAAACAACGCACCTTTACAGGAATATCATCCTCCTGATTTGCAGCTTCTGCAGTAAAGACATATGATATTTCTTTATGGGACGTTGTCTGCCTGCAGATGGCACACTTAATTGAGCTCCGGCGGGTGCCAACGCTGTACTGCTGGATGATGATGGCTATACACTCATTACAAAAGCAATGTCCACATGTCAGCACTGCCCACTATGTAGGAAATGAAAAAAAAACCCAACACAACACAGTATCAGTTTTGGATCAATTCAAAAGAAAACCAGAGTACTAATATATGATAAATTACATTTTCATAGAGAAATTGCTTTATTTTTATGACACTCATCAGATTAAAATTGAAGAATTTTAGAATTTTTAGCACCCCAGCTGCTAAAAAGCCTGAATTTCCAAGTTTTTCAGCACAGAAATATTCACGATCCACAGAAATTTTCTGCATTTATTGCTCATTTTTTGCATTTTTTCAGTTTTGAACTTCAGTAAAGACATTACAGTCTTTCATTTCTATGAATGATGATTCTTAATGCCTAGGTTAAGCATGCAGATTAAATATTTATACATTTTTTTGAAAAATTACAAAAATGTTAGCATTGGCCTCCTGTAAAAGTCTTTACCTATGCATTCATATTAGGTTGGTCTTTATTAAGTTGTAAATAAAGTGCTTTAATTTTTCCCTACTGTTAAGTCCTAGACAGCATCTTTTGAACAGAGTGGCTTAATCTCTTTTAGACAGAATGCATTTTAAACAACAGATTGCATTCCAGAAGCTGTTCTCCTTTGTGAGCCTAGAACATCTACGTGTCAGCTATGACATTCTGTAACAGAGAAGCAATTTGTAGACCAGTGGTTTTGCACCCAGAAATAGTCTCTTACACTGTACTAGTCTGCTCTATAGGCCATTCTAAGAGGAAAAATAAGACAGCTTTCACTGGACCAAGTAGCAGAGGGAATTGACTAAACAACTGATTATCAAGCAGAAGTCTTTTAGGCTTTCTAAAGTTCTTGTAATCATGCAGAAACAGGACACAAAGTATTTTAAAAGTTCCTTGCAACATGAAGGCTGCTACTATCTAAAGCAGCAGTCTCGCTATTAAGAAAAGATAAAGAAAGTTAAAAGAAAAGACTATTTTCCCTTTCAGTGAGCTCCTCCAGCTCCAAGATAAAGCATAATGGCAGTGAACAGGACAAACAGCTGTTCTCTGCAAAAACCTGTACTACCCTTGGAAGAAAAGCACAGAGGGGATTTTGGAAACATGGTAGGACACCAGTTCATGCTTACAGATGTCTATAAACTGGACAGAAGCTAAACCACCTTAGAACAGTTACCTAAAAAGAGATAATTTAGTTTGACTCTACAGGAGTCCTTTCATGTTTTTACCTAATGCATGGTAAGTCAAGTTTAAACTATAGCTTTGTATTTTATGACGTAGATTAATTCCCACTTAAATATCAACTCCCGCAGTTCAGCAGGTAAATGGTGGGGAAAGAAATACAGATTGCCAGTCTTTAATCTATTGGATTTTACTACTGTTTAAGTAGGTAATATCCATATATTTAGAAATAAAAAATACTGTCAATAAGAGCGGTTACAGTAAAATAGAACAGTATACTACAAAAAGCTTATCTATTTCTTCAATCTATTGGCTCCTAAATGGCAAACAAATGTTTCTGACAAAAGTATAACTTCAGGGTTATAAAACAATCAGGAACTCACGTTTTTGGAACAGTTAAGCACTGATGTCAAAAGCTAAAGGCAGTAGTGGTGCTTGCATCTGAGGAAGACATTATGTCAGGGGAGAGTCAGGTTGGTACATTACAGGAAAGGGTTTATTTCCCCTGTTTCAATATAATGTTAATTTTAAATCAGATGCTGAAAATTTGCTGACTCAGCTGTAGGTAAAGATGTTCTAAAGCTAAAACCCGCTGACAAAGTATCTTACCTGTCTTCCCAGTTGACGAGCACAGATTGGACACGGTTCTGGGTTAATTCCCCCAGTAGTTTTATCCTGAGACTATAGAGTAGAAGAAAAATATCAGCTTTGTGTTTCAACAAATAAGAAGTTACTCTATGTTTAAAACAAGCTTCTAGAAAAAATGAATAATGAAATCCTTAAAAAGAAACCCCACCGTGTGAACAAACTAAAAATATATTAATGAATAAAGCACATCTTGAGAAGTTAAAAAAGTATGTAACTGATGGTAAGTAAAAGGAGCACTTTTCATTCTGCAGTCCTTCATATAGCAGCTGCAGCTCTACAACAACTCTGAAAAATCCCAGTAAAATACAAGCTTCAAATAAGAAACTCCTCATATTTTCTATCAGCTTCACATGTTGTAGAAACAATTAAATCCTTGCTTAATCTAGGTTACTTAAACATAATTGTACTTACTTGAACACTATGACTAAAATAACATATCATACATGGGGTTTGTCTGATATTTTTTACACTTATTTAACCTCCAGACATGATTGTCCTGTTTAAGAAGGTAACCTCTTTGTAAAATAGCAAAGGTAAGTAGAAAGTGAAATCATTTTATAAAGCCTCTACTAAACATGGCCCATTAATTTTAAAGGAAAATTTTAAGCATCTCCAATGAGTTCATAGTTTTTTAAGTGTGCAATAGCAAATAACCAAAATATTTAATGGAATAGATAATTTTATGACTACACAGTAACAAAAAGAACAACACACTGAATTTCAACATGCAATGAATCTTCACAGAAAATACAATTTCTTTAAGATGGAAGTTTTAAATAAAAATAATGGTACGTTTCTTCCACTAGGTAAACAGAGTACATCATTTGGGTAAAGACCATGGAATCACTAATCTTACTTTCTCCAGATTAGTGAGATATAGAAGTTGTCCCAATTTCTTCTGAAGCTGTGATTTGGCAACTGCCTTGTCATTCAGAAGTTTCACTCGATTTTGCTCTACCTATGAAAACAGAATTAAACACGTATTAACAAAGGAAAAAAAATAGTAAAGTTTTACAATAAGGCTTAAATTAGTTTTTTGGTGAAATTCAACTGAATAATTTACTGGGGACAGACAGAAGAACAGCTCATGGTGTAAATTTAAGATGTGCTTCTCCCCAAGCAAAATTGATTATCTATTCTTTTCCTGTACTCAGTATGAACACAGCACTGTGAATGGGCTGAGACCCAGGTGGTACAGAAAATTGTTTTTTATCGTTTTATTTGCATTATTGTTTCTTTACAGAGACAAAATCAAATTAAAAGCACTTATTTTTTTATAAGTTTCTTTTGAATTGATCATCTATCTTCTTACAGCCATATATGTCCTAGACTCAACTGCTCATTCCAAAAACAATGTGTAAGAAAAAATTATTTTCTTTATACTTCTCAGAAGTTTCCACTTTTCATTTAACCTATACAAAGACACAAACATAACTTCTTTTTAGATTAATTACAGCTGACAGTGGAGTAGTTATTAATACTGCAGAAGAGGCAAGCACCTGAAGGATGAAAGCCAAAGCAACGGGTGTTTCTTTTGTGACTGCATATACATACATAAATCTTAAAATTTTGTTACAAATTTGTTAAGCAAAGTGCTCTGTTTTAAAAATTGTTTCAACACACAGATGAAATATCTATTTCCTTACAGAAAGAAGTACTTTTATCTAACACTCAATCTCACTGAAAAAAAGTACATAATGTTTCTAGTGAAAACATATTTCTATTGGCACAAAAAATATATAAAAATTAAGAGTTTAAATCAACCCAGCATTTTCTCTATCGTCATGAACAGAAAGTCTCTCGGATATAGCTCAGAAATTCCTGAGCATATTGAAATACTGACAAAAAGATTTGTCTTCTAGGTGTTCACTACTGTTTTATAGGTCCTTGTGGAAAGTAGCAATATGGGTAAGGAATCAGGTCAATCTAATTTTCCACCAGCTTGGAAAACTGGACAATTGTATTGAAAGGTCCCAGAGCTATTTACTTGCTGCTTGAATGACAGCAGGCTTTTGGAAAAATGCCACTCTGTCAGAAGGCCAACAAAAATATATCAGAATAAGAGTTACAAGCTCAAAAAGGTCCATATACTGATATAGGAACTGTATACTCCACCAACCCTTTCTGAAATTGAATGAGAGGCATATATTATAGACCTTATACACAGATCTAGATACAGATTTTATTTTTGTAGAAGGTAGGTTCTTTCAGAAAAACCACATTCTTTCCTGCCCAGTACTTCACCTCATGTGGTTCTATGATGTGGAGAACTGGTGGATTTGGTTTTGGCTCATCAGGATGACGCACTCTCAGTCTTTCTGTAGCCATTGCCAGTTCATCAATAGCAGACACATGATCCCTAAGTACCATCCAATATTCATGAAGTAACTGTAAGAAAACCCCAAACAAATTAACAGCAGAATTGAGCTGAGTTCCTCTTATGTGATTTTGCCATACAATCGAAAATGTGAGAAATTTTTGGAGGAAGGGATAATATTTCTTTGCATTATTCACCCACCACAACAACAAATCACAAAGGAAAACAAATAGTATAGACATCATCCTGCCGGCTTTCTTTTCCAGCCTCTTTGTATAAACAACTATAAAGAGCTGTCTCTCATTTCTTTGACAACTATTAGTATTACAACAACTAATGCAACTTAACAGTCAGAAACAAAATCTCTTGCAAGGCTAAGAAAATGCTGAATAAAATAAGGCTTATTTCACAGAGTATCATCCTTGTAGCTCCATGTAGATTAGAGTAGTACAGATCATCGAATCAGCATTTCCAAGTATATTACAGATGGAATCATAATGACACTATTTTATTCTCATCGGCATATTAGTCCCACCTTTTTTTTCCTCATGTAAAGGCACATGAAGGGACTGTGTCCTTTCTTGCAGCAGAAAATTTCTAACACATAGCAATGCCTTGGTAACTAGTCACCTTATGTCCTCCTCCTTTTGTCAACTCTTACAAGCCGAGGACACAAAGAACGAAGCATGGGAATAGTCATGAGAATGGTCATTATTCTCCAATCAGCATTTTGGTACCATAAGCAAGTGACCTGACTTTGTGAGAGCAGCACAACTTTATTAGGCATTTAATAACTTTAACTACCAGACGCCTAAATGCTGATTGAGACATCATTTTGTATATAAAGCTTTTGCACTGTATTACACTGTAAACTACCAATTTTTTAAGGCAGATCCAGATTAAGTTTTACTCCTAATGAGCACTACCAATTTGAGGAAGTAGGTGATCCATAGCCAAGTTTGTTGAAAAACAAAGACAGACTGAATTTCATTCGTTAATCTAAGATACAAAAAATAAATCACTCCATAGAGTACCTTCTCTTGCTCTTCTATGGATTAAAGCTAATAACAAATGTTTAAATTCTTGGATAGTAATAAGCATCTTTGCTTTTTCAAAACCTCCTAGGAAAAAGCAAGTTAGGTAACTTGTTGATTTCTCAGAATCATGAAACAGCAAGCCTGGGAGATAGATCACATGGGCATAAACTCTCCAAGGAACAGGAATTTACGTTGATATCAGACCACACAAAAACCCCACAAACAAAAAAACCCAAACCACCAAGATTCTAGAAGAAAGTACAAAAGAATCAATAAACCTGGCACTAGTGTACCAAGTGTGTTCTACTGAACCTGTGTTAATTGAAAACGAGAAGGAGAAGCGTTCAAGAGAAAACGTTTGATTACAGCTAAGCTATAAGACAGGATGAGAGCCTTGTGTGTAATAGCTCTTCCCCCATCTCCATCACCAGTATGTATTCACAGCAAGGAAACACAGAAACACAGGGATGTATAAAGAAAGGCACAGAACACTTCTGTAGTTCTCTCTGATCCAAACAGGAAAGTAATCATTTCAGGTTACATTGTGTAGTAAACAAGATCCAGGAAATAAAGCAATAGTGAAAGTACATCTGTAGCTAGAACAAGACCGAAGACAAAGTGAATTACAGAATAGAATAACATTGGATTTGCTGAGTCTTGCTACATTCTGACTTAAATAAATAGATGAACACATTTAATTATATCTGTATACTGTCTTAATTGGTAGAATTATATTGCTTAGTAATTTGATTAGTTGCCAGTATAACTTTTAGAAACTCAAATCATATATAAACCATTTTGAATCAAATCCTGTAAGAAGCACTGTAAAAAAGCTTGGTGTAGGTAAAGCCTAATTTCAGGCATACAATTTAGATGTGTTAATATTCAGCTTCAACTTGTTTATAATAAATTAAATGACAACTGTTTTGTCACCATCTCATTTACTGTACCTTATATTCCTTTTTCCATGCTTCAAAGAGTTCCAGAAATACGCTCCCTTCTTCAGTTAGCCTAACATCCATTCGGTGAGCTTTGGCAAAGGAGAGGAGAGCTTTCAAGGCACGTTCAGTTTCACTGGTTGCCCACAGTCCTCTACTTGTGGTGGGCAAACGGTCATCAACAAGCCCCTCTTGGTCTTCTATCATCTCCTCGAATATTGCCATTTGGCCTTTAACACTTAAAACCAAATCCAATACAATACTTATCATCGATTTTGTACTCACATGTTCATTTCTACTTATTCATCATCTATTTCAGCCTTCTACTGGTTGATTAGAGGATAATGCAGACCAAAAAAGTATAAACAGCTGTTTGACTACCTAACACCTCAAAAGCTTGCTTTGAACAGAGTGATCTCAGTATCAGCAACGAAACCACTATAAGGCCATTTTTGTCAGCTCAAAATCCTCCCCAGCTTTTGTAAAGGCTTACGCATCTAAATTATCTTTCAGGAGTTATTAATGCAATATTCATTTAAGAAAAAAAAATCAATTCTGGTCTTTTGTATAAGCGAGATCTGCAGTTAAACTCTGACACAAAATTTGCTGTGTATTGCACTATTTAAGAACACTACAGCTTCCCAGTTCCCTCCTTGACAAATAATGCTAATTTACAAACACACTGATGTTTCCTGATTCCAGCAATCATGAGGTAACAGAGCTCCCACTAGTAAAGACTTTTCAAAATGTTTTCTCATTGACCTCAAGACTTTTGAATCCAATTTTGACATTGTGAGGGATATGAGAGACAAAAGTAAAAGAGAAAGTATGCAAAAGACTGTAATCTATGTCACTCAGTACTGTCCACTATGCATACTTCTCACACCATGTGCTGGTGTCACCCTTCTTTCAGCTGCATTCCTGTCTGAGATCTCCTCTGTCATTGTAACAATGAATGAGGATGGTATTATACCACTTGCAACTGGACCGCAAATAAATATTTGCACAAAGAAGAATATGTATTAAATTAGTATACTTGTATTTATACACATACTTTCTGAACACTTCAACACTTCATTTCAAATGTATGGTCATATTACAGCAAGCTTGATAGAAAGTGGCATAAATCCCTTCCTTGTAACAGCTTGTTCAAATGACATTTACATAGAAAATTAAACCTAATAAAACCATTATCAAGGCCATTAGCAAGAAGTTGCTGTAATTAGTTCATAAAGTTATTTCAGAAAACTTCAAGAAGAAAACATAAAGCAATCCAACTTTCACTTTTCTAAGTGATAAATTTATAAAGCCGTGGACTTACCTATGCATAAAGAGCTTCGACTCATATTCTGTGAACAATTCGTCAGCCTTACAAAAGACACAGCTGCAATACAGAAAATTGAAAATGGATGCACTCAGAATTTCATCAGAAACCAAAGTAATTACCATATATCTATTCCAACATACAAAACCACACAAAATCCTTAAAAAAAGGAACAAATTAACAGTCATATGTACACTCAATAAATTAACTGACAGGAAAAAGATTTTATAGGAATAAAACCAAAGGTCATGATTCTAACAAATGGATCTGTGATATCTGTGTGCATACAGCCCCTGATTACATACTCAAGACTTCAACGTGTTATTTGAAATAAAGGAAAATTGAATAATCCACTTCTAAAGTATATTTTCCATTTTCAAGACATACTTGTTGAGTGGAAGTCTAACAGGTCGCAAATGGCAGATAGTGGCAGCCTCAATAACCTGCTTAGAAGGGGGCCCTTCTAAGTTTTTCACTGCTTCTCTTACAATCTTTTGGAACTTCTTCACTTCATCCAGCTGGGTTGTGAGCAGGTACTGAAGGCCTCTGCAGTCACGGAATCTGATTTAAAGAGAAAGGGAAATAACTGTACACCAAGTCACCAAATCCAAACTTAATTAAGTATTTTAAAGTGGAAGAAAAATAGCTAAATAGCAATCTAGGACAACGTATGAAGTTCATATCGTAAGCAAATGCTTGTTCTTACTGCATGTAATGCTGTCAGAAATCACTCCATTGTATGCCCAGAGATGATGGTATTTGTAGAATAGAAAGATTCTTCCCAAAACTTGAGAGATGGGACCAAATATTAGCAGTGAACACCAACCCGCAACATTCTGGTCCACAATGCAAATCTACTAAAGGTAAACAACTGCACATACTCATAGTCTTACTTGTGTCTGTTGGTCAGCAAAATGATTTGCAGTGCACCTGTGCAATTCACAGCAGACAAATGCACCCATCACAAAAATATACTTCATTCTGCAAGTTAGGTTTCAAAGTTAAAATTATTAAATGGACATAACGAAAACCTATTTTCCTAAAACCTAGGTGTCTTTTGCGATTGGAATGGAAACATGAAAACAAGTTAAGCACTTCCCATGTTGTGTTTTTCCTGTGAGCAGAGGTCTCTTGCTGAAAGTGCACAGTTCCTACAAGGTCTGACATTCATGGACAAGACTGTAGTTCTAGACCATAAGGAAAGTTTGATCCAAAACATTTGTTTTGTAAAGTGTGGAGAGCAAAGCACAGGTTTAACACCACCACTAAAGCCTGGAATTTAATATGACCTACTTAAGTAATATGCACTTTTAAGTAACATAGACAAATTTGCCTAACGAGGTAGCCTGAAAATACATATAAATTGCAATCGTGAGTCTGCTGTTAATACCATCAGTTGCCAAATAATACCAGCTTTATAAAAGTCTCCCACATTATACCACGGATTAATCATGTCTTATATTCAATTAGAGTACTTGTTGCTTTCACCACTGACCACTAACACTCGATAAGACACTGTTTTTTAAGATGTCATCTCATATTCTAAAATAAATTGAAAAGGAATTAAATTTTATCCCTACTTTATAAAATAAACATTTGAGTTGCAGATAGCTTCCCAAAGTTATACAACCTATAAGCAGCAACAATTTAAGAAGATACTTTCTAAATACCTAATTTCAACTGAGGAAAAAAAAAATCAGTATGACACAGGCAAACATACAGATAGATGCATATGCATACAAATTCTGCATGAACATACAAACAATGCTGTCCTCTTATTTATTTTGACCAGAATGTGATGCTATCATTCTCAAATGAAGACCCAAACAGGAAACGTTTATATCCAGACTCACACACTGGCTGAGATCCGAAGGGGCCTCTGGGTGTTCTCTTGTCCAACTGCTCTCCTCAAGCAGGGTCACCTAGAGCTGGTTGCCCAGGACCATGCCCAGACAGCTTTTGAGTATCTCCAAGGATGGAGACCCCACAACCTCTCTGGGCTACCTTTGCCAGTACCCAGTCACCCTCACAGTAAAAGAGCATTTCCTGATGTTCACAGGGAACATCTTGTGCTTCAGTTCGTACCCATTGCCTCTTGTGCTGAAAAAAAAGAGCTGTACGTACCTTTATTTAGATTATTCAATAGAATTATGTTAAGTATGGAAAAGTAAAGGGTACGTTTACCTGCAGCAAGGGCAAGAAATTGCGACCTTTTGGGATGACAGCAGAATAATCATAGTGGAGGATACATCTTTATGTATTGAATGTGCATATCGTAAGTATTTAAACTTATACACACATACACATTTTATAAGCACATTAGATATTTGTATACATATGTATATGTATTTATATACATCTATTTATATATAATAAATATAATAAAAATGCATTTAACTAAAAACATCATTCAGAAAGACTGTATTTAAGAGCCCTAAGCTCATGTATCTGAGAAAATTGCCTGAAGTTAAACTATGAGAGCACTGTCCTTCCTATGTCTCCCTTTTCTGTGATAAACTTACGGAACTTCAGCACAGAACATATGAGAGGAGGCTGGGAGAAAAGGGTCTATTCAACCTTAAACTGAGAATGCTCACTAGAGACCTTGTTGCGTTCTACATTTATCTCACTGGAACGTACAAAGAAGATTGAGCCAAATATTTCTCAAAGGCACCTGGTGAAAGGACAAGAGACAGTGCATACAAGATGCAACACAGGAAATATTAACTAGATAAAAGGATTTTAATGTTTCTTTATTTCCAACAAGTGGATCATATACCAGAAACAGACTTCACATAGAGGTTATTGAATCTCCTCCTTGGAGATAACCTAAACTTAACAGGGTAAATCCCTGTGCAACCTGATTGGGTTGAATGAGCATAGGCCTGGACCTATAAGCTGAGGGTTGGCCTAGTGATCTCCAGATGTCCCTTCTGAATCCATTGTTCTGTAATTGAACCCAAAAAACAGTGGTACTGTTGTCTCTAACATGAAACCAACCCAAAATTCTTTGCTCAGAAAGACAGTAATGTTATCTTACAGTGTTACATAAGGATTTTCTGATATTGTCTGCCTACTTTCCATTTACGCAAGTCAATTTCTTTTATAGGTTACTCAATTTTAATGCAATAAACTTTGAATCTTTCTTGATCAGCAGTTGCATGAGTACAGAAGACCGTAAAACCACAGTGGATAATACAGAAAATTATTTCAAAGAATGCTCATCTAAGAAAAAATGGTAATTCTCCTATTTTTCTTTCCAAGTCTTCTATATAGCCAGCTTTTTCAGGGACTGGTTTTGAAACATAATTGCAGTCCAGATGCTCTGAAGTAAAAATGGCTGCTATTTAATTTCAACTGTTAGCACAAACTGATAAGAAGACTTGAACAGACTTAATTGTATTCATTAGTCTATTTTAGTTACTCTCTTACTTCTCTGCCATGGAGAGTTTATTAGTCTGCTGTTTGTAGTTGCAGGTTATTTCGTTTTGTACACGTTGAACAAGCTCCTCATCAATGGCATACTGTATTGCTGTCTGGATGACATCCAACCACCAAGGAGAACCGGAATGTATCTGTATGAAAAAGAATAGAGTTATCCTTGAACATTCAACAGAGAAACAATTTAATCATAGCAGCAGAGGCGTAATGACTCTTTAGGCCTAACTGCTCTTTAGGCCACAGCCAAACAGATTGGTTAATTCTCTGAAAGTGGAGGATTAAGAGCATGATTAAAAAATAGCCCCTCTTCTGCTGAAGTGTAAGCACATGATTAAGAAACTCTCTACATTCTCATCTATTTCTACACCTTCAAAATGCTTCAGTAGAGTTAGATTCACCAAGACTATCTACAGAGAACGGCCACATAAAGATATTGTGATCTCAAAGTTTCCTTCTTCTCTCTCTCTCTCAGAAGGAGATGAAAAGATCATTTAATGAGAGAAAGCAAAGCTCTCTGTGAAATTAACAGAGCAAGAACAGTTAATTATAATTTTAACAGGTGAAAGAAGATGCGTAAGTTTACTTCCTCATGTGCTATTTGTCCTCATTTCTTTATTATTTATTTACTGTTATGCGAATGGCAAGCATCCTTTCAACTCAGGTGTTCATCAATTCATTAAGGGTTTGCACCTTTCTCTGAAATCTGAACTGTCATATTGACTAAACACAATTAAGCCTTAAGCACCACGACTAAATGCATGCCAAAAATCAGTTCCCTTGAAAGCAACTGAAATACCGTCTGATACACCACAGAAATGTTCCAAGACCCAAATTTATACCTTATTTTCCTAAATTATAGGTGAAGCACAGTTAATTTAAAAATCAAGAATGGTGTTAAACTTTACTAGAATCATCCCCCACCATGTACTTCTGTTTTTAGTCATCTGTTCATCAAGTACTGTGTGCCTTTTTATATGGGGAACACAGAGTATGTTTTGGGCCTGTGGTAAGCGTGAAGTAAGCCTGTGGGAAGTCCCATTCCAAATAGGCCTTCAAAAACTGTTAGAAATAATAAATAGCTGGAGTTCTGGATATACAGATGAAAATAGTATTTTTTAAAAATCTCAAAATTCAGAGACAAAATATTTAAGAGGTGCCTGCCTTTCTCTGGAGCTCCCGAATTGTTTGAAGAACTGGCTGTAAGGCCTGATGGGCTTCTGCAACTTCTGCATTGGATTTACTCATATAATGTTGTCGAAGTTGTTCTGCCTGTATGAAAATAAGAGCTTAAATTATAGACAAATCATATTTAGGAGGAATAATGGAAAATGTAAAAACTCCCCAGCTACCAAAACATTTTAAAATGGTTAGCTACCTATGTGCTACCCACTTTCGTTTGTAATATTTGGCAGTATTTTTTTTCCTCTAGAATCTAGCACTTATTAGTAAGCCCAAAAAACATTTGAGAAGACAAATTGGTACAAAGATGCTAACTATGAAACTTCACTTTTGGACAAGCCCAAACAACACAATAGGAATACACTGCATTACGAAAGGGAACTGGAATTTAACTCACTATTCTTACTTATCTGTACAATAAATGTATTGTGCTGAATAAGCAAACAATAAAAAGATCTCAGAACAATTTGAGAACAGGACAATTGAACTTGTCTACACATAAAACTTAGTCATGAAATAACAAGAAAGGCTTAAATTTCATTATTTTTAGGTGCATCAAATATAATTTTTTCATAGGAATTATGTAGAAATTACTTCTGACAGTGAAAACCCCTCTTAGTATACAAGTGCCTCCACCATGCAACCAGTATCACATTTTAAAAACTGATGAACAAACAACTTACAAGTAACATGTATCTTTCATAATTTCATACTGATTTCACTAGGTACCTTAATTTAGTGCATTTTAGTATGTGTTTAAGTCTTTCTTCTTTTTGTTTGCTACTATTAAGATAATTATATTGTTGTTACAGAGCCCAGTTTGCCTGGAGTGGACAGGACTCTTGGGGGTTTAGATGAGCTACTGGCAAAACACAGCTATGAAAAACCACCTCTGCTTCATATTTATAAAAAAAATACAAATTTTCCAATCCCCTTTTTTATAACAATGCCAGGAGAAGGTGACATTTTGAAAATTTCTAGAATTACAGGTCAATAAAAAACAGGCAATATTTCTATATTATTTCTAAGAAGGTGGGTAGAAACTTTAAATAGTTAAGAGAACAAGTCTTAAAACAAAAAAAATGCTACCCATACCTACAATTTGTGTAAAAATGATAAAATCTCACAAGATATCCAAATAATAAGACAGATACTGATCACCACTGCAAAACAGGAGAGGCTGTAAGAACTGGGCTTGTGCAGCTTTAAGGAGAGAGGCTTAGAGGGTACTAAAGAACAGCCTTGCAGCAGCCAGAAGGAAACCACCCAGATTGGCAGGTATTTTACTGAAGTACATGGTAAGTGAACAAGGTACAACTGCTATAAATTGAAATGGGAGGTTCTGTGTGAATTTTTTTCCCTACTATGAGAATTATGAAGTGCTGAACAGGTTACTCAGCTAAGTTGTGATATCTCTTTCCTTGGAGATTTTAATGGACCAACTAGATAAAGCCCTGAGATACCCGGTCAGAAATCAATGTTGACACTACTCTGAGGGGGAGATTCAGCTAGTGACATCCCAAGTCCCTTTCAACCCAAATAATGCCACAATAATGACATTCCTTTCCAAATGTGGTCCATACGTCCACTACAAGTAACTAGTTGGGAAGAGTAATCCCACCATTTTGCCGGATATTTCCCAATTAAGATTAAGGATATAATCAAACAGGCGAATGAACACAGGAAATGATACACAGTGACTTGCTCATCTGGCCCAAGAAAAATAAAAAACTTCACCTAGAGAAAACTCTGACTATTTGCAGTTAAAAATGAGGAAAGCTAAAGAAAGTGTGAGGAAATAAAGGACTCAGAAGAATTCAGGATGATACATTCTTTATCGTTAACATCTATGTAAGTGATTTTCATAGGAACATTGTGGGCATGGGGAAGCAACGTTTTAGAGAGAAAAATTATTAAAAGTTCCATAAAACATACAACAGAGGCCACCAAGCATTCAGAACAGCAGTATTTTACTGGACATTTCTGCTCTCATCTCACACTCTAAACAACTCATGATTTTACCAAGTTGAAGGGAAATGTACATAGTTAACTTTAAAGCCATTTAATGTTATTTCCTTAGTTAGAGAAAATACTTAAGGACAAAAAATAAAACTGTGCTCTTCAAAATGTATTTATATAAAAACAAACTCTGCTTACCTCTTCTGCAAGTCGGCTATCACGCAAAGTTGGGGGAATTCCTGGGTGCTTTGCCAACAATTCCATCAAATTATGTGTAGAATGAAGTCTCTAAATATACACAAAGTCAACAGCAATCATGAAAAAAATCCATTGCAACATCTGTGACAGGAAAAGCTTGAACAGCAATGAAAGCTTACAGCAAAAAATTAGCATGCATTTAAAATAAGATTTACTTTTTCTCTGTTAACCTGGAAGTACCTTATAAAGAAAAGAAACATTCTTTTCCTCATTTTACTGAGACGGGAAACAATAAGAAATTAAAGACTTTCAACATCTCAAAAGTAAATCAGCAGCAAGTTTGATACCAGGTCATCTAATACTCTCCCATACTCACCCTACTAATTAAAACAGCCCTTGACTATTATGGAAGACAAATTATTTATCTCAGAGCACATTCTTCTGTAAATGTCTTTTAGAATATTCTAAGGACACAATTCACTTACCCCATCTACAGCAAAATACAGTTTAAGGAAAATACCAGATCCCAAGAGTGTCATTTGTCATATTTTCACTATTCTGAAATAAAAGATGACTGAACAAAACATGACTTTTTTGTTTATTTTTAGGAAAAATAAACTTGATTATTAATACAAGGCAACTCTGTTCCTCTTCCCTAGGTTCACGCTGCATATCCCAAACCAGACCTCTACCTCCACAGACCTCTACCTGCTCCCACAGACTTATTAATAACCTCCACTATATCTGAACTTGTATCCCTCTCATCTCCTGGATTCACTCTATCTTCGTCCTATTACTACCTTAGCCACTGAAGAGGAATGGCCAGCAGTGGTTTGCCATTATCCTCAAGAGCTAAACCTATACAACTGAGAACCACTCAACAGAAGTTAAGTTTTATTACCAAAGCAATATTAGGCAGCATGTATTTTGAGGGGGAGGGGGGAAAGCTTTATTGGATTGCATAATCCAGTAAAACAGTTTAATTAACAACCCTGTTATGAGTATCTTAACAAGTTTATGCTAATATGGCTATGATAATAGAAAAAAGCCACCAGGAAGTCACAAAAGAGAAGGAAAAATCAAAGAAGTGTAACAGAGACATCAGATGATCACATGCAAGATAATCAAACAATAATTTATTTAGCAAAGCAAGTAAAGAGACAACTGATTACTTCTTATTTATCTGTCATTAACATTTTAAATATCTTGTTCAATTTAGAACTGATATTTCTTGAAGAAATCTGAAAATGTTACTTAGAGAACCATTGCTTTTTTTACCAATAAAATATGTTCATATTTTTAATATAGTATTCAAAATACATGAAGACAAATGTCTGAAGAGAAAATTCACTTTGATTCTTTTACATGTTTTGATGCCTTTTTATTTTCTGCAGTGGAACAATTTTATTATTCTCTATCATTTGGCACATTAATATCACTCTCAGAGCAAACCCAGCATCCTGTATTTGCTGGCTGTAACGTAACATCATTAATGTGAGCAGTCACAGTCACATGCACAGATCTAGGAATTCAGCTTGTTAAGTTTATTGCAGAACAGCAGGTGGAGATCACACACTGCTTCAGGGATATCATGAAGACTCACAAGCAAGTTTTTAGAAATATAGCATCTTTCTTCCTTTACAAAAAAAAAAGCAAACATGAAGGTCACTGGATCAATTCCTACCTAAATCACTGGACAGATTCCTATCTAAAGACTGTGATCATGACAGCACGCTGAAATGATAATTCAGCACACCACTGAGAAGAAAAAAAGACTGACCCGTTAAGTTAAATCTAAAGTATTCCAGTTCTTAACTACATCTTTTTACATTTCAGTGCTCACTCACTTGTAAGGAATCTGTTTTGAGCTTTTCCTTGTGCTCTTCAGATGATCTTAATACTTCTCTGTACAGCTCCGCAGCCAATGCATATTCTCCTGAATTAAAAAAAGAGTAACAAAAACATACACATACTGTGTGGTTTTTAAATATACAAGCAGCCATGACTGACCTTGATGTAACAAGAGTTACATCACTTGAAACATACTAAGATGTTTACAGAGAGTCTGTATAACAAGTGCTTGTCTTCAAGAAAATCTTTTCTATTCATTCCACACCCCTCCCACCACCCAAAAAAAATGGTAAAAGACACGGTATTATATTCTACAAAAACTACGCAATTTCCAGATAAAATATCTTTTGTGACTGCAAGATCTGTAAGACCTCTTAATCTTAAAATATGTATTTGTGGTTGCACAAGTCCAAAAAATCTCACATGTTGCACTAAAAAAAAATCATCTACAACTCACTGCAGTGATGCATTGCTAAATTTGCACTGCAAATACATTATTCACTGTTCCAGTGAAAACAATGAAAGTTGTATCACGCTTCAGAAATGCAGAAATGATTAAGTACATGCAGGGAGCATAACTACTAATGTAAGCTACCAACATCACAATCACTTCTCAGAAAATAGATTATATAAATTAAAAAAGAAAAACAAAATTGAAACTGCATATGGAAAAGCAGGAAAAAAAATTTTAATTTTCTTTTCTCAATTGATGGAAATTTACTTAGCAGTAATAGTCTTAGAGACTCTTAAAACATGGTGAAGGACAGGGACAAGAAATGTATAAAGACAGATAACAGAGTAAAAAAAAAAAATCATCTTCCTCCATATCCGGAAGTGTAAAAATCTTACGTCAACAAAATTTGTTGCTTCTTACATTGAAAGTATTGCCAGTTGTAAGGGTGTAGTCCTGCAGTATAGAATTGCCCTTACTAGTAATAGGCCAAAAGCTATGTGCTGAATTTGCAAGGCCTCAAGCTTGAAGCTTGTCAGGCCTCCTTTGAATTTTGATTGACCTGGACGTTTTACTTGGCCTAGCTGAGATAGCAATTTCTGTCATTCGCTAGGTGTTTATGGCTAATTTTTAATTTTTTTTTTAAACTTTTGTTTATCTTTGTGTGCTACAAACCCAGTTTTACATAGATAGCAGTAACAAGCAGTTATTCCATGTAAAATGAGATATTTACAACTAACGCAATGATGCAGTGTAAGGAAATACAGGTCTAGTAACAATTGGAGAGGCCTTGAGAAGTAAAGATATAGGATGCAGTGTAGGGTACAGCCATGGGATGCTAAGAGATGGTGCACAGGCTTGGCAGTGAATAAGAAAGCCATGGCTATAAACAACTCACCCACAGTCAAAGAAATGCAGGCTTAGAGCTGGACAAAACTGGTTTTAGGGGCAACAAAGAGAACAAAGAAATAGTATGTAACATTCATAAAAGGCATTATGTACACTAAATTTGGTGTTTTCACGGAGCTGTAGACCAGTGAAGAAAGAGAAAGGTGCAAACGTGTGCTAGCAAACATAAAAATGATCCTTGTGTGAGGAAGAAACCATCAACACAAACATCTTATTCCTCCTGATGAAGGTAGTGACAACTAGTGATAGCACTGCCACCACCTCTGTGAAAGCACTGACTTCAGGACCCAGAAGGGCTTAAGTAGAAAGGTGAGCATAAAAGCAGGACAAGCAGTATAAACACTTAAGTGCGATTGTTACTCTTTTTTTGCCTGTAAGAATTAGATCTGGACTAATAACAGTTAGACCTATAAGATTTCAACTATAGGAAGAATAAATTTGTGGCTTCATGTATGTGTAAGGTGTGCTTCCTTCTCACTGATAAAGAAGACTGAGTGTAATACTAATACTGGGGAGGGAGTTACAGACCAGAACTCTGCCTCAGTCCTGCTTTTTGTTTCTCACCAGATGAAATTTTCATCAATCTGCTTCTCAAAACAAGCCAAGCTTAATTTTTGCTTCTAGTGTATTTTAGAAGTGTTTCATCTATACATAAATCTTTTTAAGCACTTAATTCTATCTGAAACACTTATCTACATTCTGCAATCATAATGAAGTATTTCAAATCTAATAATTACTAACTACAGATTAGAGAATCTGAATGTAGTCTTTCTGTAAGGCAAGTAACAGAAAAAGCAGTTTGTGGGTTTTCCTCTCTGAAGGAAGATTTTAACATGAGCTGGAAAATTTCAAACAGCTTGTCAACTTTAGAAGAACTTGGAAAAGAGGCATTTTTTCACATTCATAACTAAGTAATTTCAATTTATTTTCATTTTGTTTAATGACATTCAAGATTAATACAGTTATTTTTGCTTCCCATTCAAAGGTTTTTTTTCCTCATAATTCAGACAAAATCTACATTGACAGAGCTGTAGAGCAGGCAGCAGGGAAGGGATTCCACAGTCAGCATAGCAGTTTGCATGGCAGGGGACACAAAGTAAGCCCAGAAAGCAGTACTGATGAAACAAAAGCAGGTTAAGTACAAATACACAAGTATGGCTTCTTTTATCCTCCCAGTACACACAGATGCATTACAGCCATCCAATCTTACCTTTAATGATATGGATACCAGCTAAGCCATTAAGAGCACACACCAGCTGTCGGTGAGCTTCTTCACACTCCGTTCGACATTTCTTTTGCAGAGATGCTAACAGTTCCTCCATGGTCATGGTGCTGAAAAGGAGAACAAATGTCTCAAATCTGAAACAAAATCACAATACTAGAGAAATAAAACTGTCATGCTGTGCAGCATAAAAGATGGTTACATGCATCCAACATACTGTACAATGGTTTTTTTGATATTTATTTACTTATTAAAAAATCCCTAGCTGTCAGCCTTGCTTTCTGCTAGAGCTTTCCCCTAACTTCACTGTGTTGAGAGGTTGACATCCCCTAAGAACAGAAAGAAATAAACAAGAAGAAAATTAGAACTAGGTAAAATAATCTTTCACAAGGAAAAATATTTTGATCTTTCTGTTACAGTGTGAACTAGAAACAAGAGAAATCAGACCTCATTTTGCCAAAAGCTGTTCAGATGAAAACAGCTATGAGAGACTACATTTCTACACTCTGCTACCAATCTAAATGCATAAAGCACATGATGTAACAATGTAAAGAGGAAAAATGTGTGAAATGAAAACAGGGAAAATTAGCAAAAATAACTTTAAACTTCTTTTTCTACTTTTGTCATTTTTATAAATTAGGAAAGGAATTTAGTCAGAAGAAAATTAACTTAATATAAAAATACAGGAAATAGAGAGGGAAGAGAGCGAAGCAGGAACAGAAATGAAAAAGAAGAAGGAAGCATGAAGGATAGGTTAGAGTAAGGCCACGGGACAAAGAATCTAAGCAGAAAGAGGACTGATAGAGACAGGAGAGTGAACAGCAGCAACAGCCTACAAGAGCTGACCTGAGGCTGCTTCTGTGACCAACTACTGCTGTTAGACCAGACGCTACCCTTCTCCCCTGAAACTCTGCTCCTCAGCTTCATTCACCTTTAGAGAAACATTTACTATTTGGCATTTAGCACTGTGGAACAGAGTTAAGAGGTGATGTAACTCCCGCGCAGACTGTGCCCAAATTATGCTGGAAGGATACACTTTCCTAGGCCTTTATTTTACCCTCTTTGCAACATAGTTCCAGTTGCAGCAACTGATTTTTGGCTTTATGCTACTGTGTTATACCAGAGCAGGCTTTAAATCAATATAATCACTATTTGTGTATTCTGCAGAGGTAATGGCAAATACACATAGCACCTGCATACACTGATACTTCCACCATTGCTACTTACCTTTTATATTCAGAACCATCGGCAGTTTCAAGAAAAATTAAAAAAGCAGAAGGATGTAAATATAAAATATGCAATTTGATATACAGCCTGAGACTACCAATTAAGACAAAAAGAAGAGCTTTTTTACTCAGTTAAACTAGGAGAACCCTAGCAGTGAATTTCTTCATTATTTTCATACATATAACCAAAGCCAGGAGTCAAATCTTCTCTCTATTCTGGGAATGTCTACTGCTGCAGTCAAGTTTGGTTCACAAAAAAGATATGTAAATAGTGCTTTCTTTGTACATGTGATTTTACGAAAGATTTAATTCTCATTGCTGGTTTTTCCGCCACAGTTACTATGCAGCTGTCACTGTGCAAACATTCTACCAAAATCAACACAGTACTAAGAAGTGCCCAGCATATTCTGCTCAGTTTACACATTTCATTTATACTACACTGGCTCATTTTAATGCAAATAATCTTGTATGAGTGGAAATATCAATTTCTCCTATATTTGAGCCCTTGTTTCCACACTAGCAGACTGTTAGACAGAAAGTCCTACAAGCACGGCATCTAACTATTCGTCTCCGCTGAAGTAGGCGCAAAGCCAGTTTCAGGTGCTTAGGCACCACAGATGCCTTGTATGAGAAGAGGGAAGGAGTAAGACACAAAACTTCATAAAGCATAGAAAGAGATTGAATAGAATGGATGAACAAGACTAGGACACAGTAGAAATAACACTGGCAGTGCTAAAAGTTTAAGTTCTTCTCTGCCTGTAGCTTAAAAAAAACCAGTCAATGCTCTCAGAGTCTGGACTGGAAACAGCCTGTTCTTTCACAGCCTCCCTCTAATTGATTGAAAGTGTAGCAGCTACATTTCGCAATAGGGCTAGCAACATGCTTTTGGTCTAACAAATGCTGAGACCAAACTGATACTTGGAGGGCACTTGTGAAGATGATGAGCTTGAAAGCATGCAAAAAAAAAAAAAAGGAAAAAAGCATTTGTACAACTTTCAAGTTTGGATCTACATTTAAAAATTCTGCAACCTCACATTAACATTTTCTCTGAACTAAATAATTATTCTATTCTGTTGATTCATTTTGTTCATTTTTCTCATTCATGAACACGAATTTTGTAAGAGACAAAAGAAAATCAGTGGGCTTATTTGAAACTGAAGAAGAATCTGGTTTGTTTCACACTTAACCTGTCACCTGGAACACCCCAGTATCCATCAACATCATAAGGTTAAAATGCTACTGGAGAATCAAATTGCCTCTCAGTACTATGTTCTTTAACGCAAGAATTACACTTACAATCCTACTGCACCCATTCATCTTCTGAGGTCAGATTAGTTTGGTGTACCATATTTGCACATTTAATTAAAGAAGCCTAAAATTAGGCTTGAGATGAGAACTGTGCAAGATCTTGCACTGTTGGGGGCAATCAGAGTTTTCCTCTGGATGAAGCAGGTCATTTAAGAAATGACAGAAATTCACCTTTTCTGTAATGGCAAGAACTCTCCCCGAACAGCTTGTGGATGACAGCAGGCCTGCCTCAGCCGTAGCAACGGGTATAGTATGGAAGTCACAGTCCTTCTATCTAGGCTGCTAAGCTTAAGAGTCCAGTCTGAAATCTTCCTGAGTTTTGCCAATGCATCCTGGCAGCACACCTCATGCTGGCGATGATAGAAGTGTCTCTCCACAGGAGAGAAGTGAAGCCAGTGTATATTTTCTGTCTGAGGGGGTATTTGAATCTGCAATTAAAGAAGAAAATAAGTAATTTTGCAAATAAAACTATTGATAAATGATGTTCAGGAATTTTAAAACTCAAAACTCTTAGTTACTTGGTCAATCACATCCTTCTTCGCTGATCTCCACATTATCTTCGCAATTAGACTGTAAAGAGGCCGGGGATTTTTCCTACAATAAGGTCGATATAAAAGTTGGTCCCACCAATGTTTGACCCAGTAAGGATCAACTCCAAGAAAAAGGACTAATCCATATAGATCTGCCAAGAAAAGAAAGTGTTTTAGTACAGTGTTTGTGTTTTAACACTTCACAATATGCCTCCAAAAAATTAACTTTCATACAAAGGCTACCAGGCATAAAACAACTACTTTCTGGTCATTATCTTCTGCACTTCTTTTCCAGTTACTTGCTCATCAAAATATTTAATTTTAGGCAAGGGACTGGGTAGGGGAAGGTGGGGGTTCTCTCCTTTAGCTAGCTGTTGATTTCCACATAACTTGCAAGAATATAGCTATTTGTGAGACACTTTCCCAATTTCAAGTTTAGCAGAAAAAAGCGACAAATTTAAACCTATTCAGAGCAGAGGCAAGAGGCAGAAATTACATAACTGCATATGGTTAACAGGGCCTGCCAGGATTTTCTAAAACAACATTGCTCAGTATCATTACTTCACAGCCTGCTGTGCACCAACTGTTTGCTGCCCACCATCTAGAAGGGGCTGCAATTCAGAAGACTTTCACTTCTCTGCTAAGACATAAGGAAGTAACAAAAGACACTTTAATTGTTTTCTTGCTAATTGAGACAATACAATTTAATTGCTAATTCTGCCTAATTCAGAAATCCATCACTTTTTGGAATGAAACTTAAGGACACTCTGACTTTAAACTTGTGCCTAAATCTTACCAGAAAAATACAGAAGTAAACATTTAAATGCTGCAATCGGACAGTGCCAAAACAGAGATGTGATGGTATCTTGTAGTTCCTAAAGATCTGGTGGCTACATTCCTTTTTCTGTTAGGTTTATGGTAATTTTGTATTCAGCTGAAAGCATCACAACATTCACCAAATACATAATAGACCAGGGGAAATAAAATCCTGGGAATCATTTCTATGCAAGAAGCAATTGTTTACCCAGAGGTCCTATCCAACTGTATTACAGCAGCAGTGTCACAGACTGAAATGAGTCAGCAGCTTTCATCCCCTAAGTGATGGGGGCTGCCTTAACATAGCCTGAGAGACTGTCAATACGTATTATGCACAATACGACATTTCAGATATTTATTAAATCAAGACTATCACACATAAGGACTTGAAGAAATTAATCATGACAATAAAATCTATCAGTTCCTTCTACAGGGTTTGATTTATTAACTACATATTCTCATAACTATTGTGTGTATCTATAAATTTAATTCACAATTCCATAATGAATTAATCTACAATATTGACTTTTGTAATTTGTTATCCACACAACAGTCCACAAATGCATACACTGATTTATCCACTTTAAAACTCACTGTCTTAGCTTGTACTATATATTCCTAAATCAATCAGAGAACAGGGAGACAGAGAAGTTAATCAGTTCCCTTTCTTTTTTTCTATCTCTCTGAAGCCTGCCTACAGAAACTGAGGACCTCACAAAAATGACAAAATAAATGACACCTGCTAACATACAGCTACCTACTTCACACATCTCAATTCATTAAGTCCTTACATAAGGACTTAAAACAGTTTCATAAGCTTTAGCATGATTTCCAGAATTTATATTCATGGCAGTTGATGCCCATAGTAGTTCATATGGGGCTATGCAAAAAGCAAATACAGCTTTGCTTGCTGTATTTGACAGCTTAAAGGATTCTGTAACCAGAGCAGACTACCTACAGCTGCAATAGAGAAGGGTTAATATTTAACCACTCTGCTAAGTGAAAACTGAAAAACAGACTTGAATCAGCTGTTGGACATACAGCTTCTCTGCTGTCCAAAGTATCTGTCTAACTAAGGGAGACAAAAAGATTCCAGCTCTGCAATTTTTATATTGATAAAAGTATTGATGGTTTTATTACACGCTTAAAGTTTATGCTTAAAGTTTTTACCAAGTCAGAGTACCTAATCAATTCAAAGCAAAACAAGCAGATGTTCTAACTGCTTCAAAGCACTACCTAATTATCAGCATAAGAAAATCCCACAGATGACACTGCTACATAAAATCTCACCTTCTAATCCTCGCTGCACAGGAGTACCACTGACACACCAGCGATTGATTCCACTTAAACGGAGTGCCATTTCAGCAGCCTAGTAAAAGGAAATAGAACCAATGGTAGGAAATGGAAAACATAGAACACAGTCTGACAACATGTGGACCTTATTTTTGAGAAGTCTGAACATCTTTTCAGTATGTAACATTAGCAGATTAGAAGCAGCATCAGTACAATATATTATGAAAATGTATATAAAATTTTGGAGCTTTTCTGAAGGTAACTGAGAACTGATAAAAGCCATGTCTTCTTCTGAGTAATCAAGTGCAATTAAGAGTTCACAGAAGCCAAACAGATAGCAAAAGAAAATGTATGTTTAAAAAAAATAAAAAAAACTAAAGCCCATAAGCCATTATGTAAGTAGCATTTTTGTCTTTCTGTCTTGGGCAAAAAGACCGGACAGACACTAATTAAAATAAACTCCCCCTGCAGACTGTATCCCTTGAGTTTGCAGACAGACTGCTGACTATTTTAGCTTCTAGACCCAAAGGACATGTCTATGCCTCTGAATCATACCACTGAACAGGCTAGTGTCTTGTTTGAAACTATCAAACGCCGTACACAACACGATGATCTAGTTCTTTAAACTGTCAGTATAGATTATATGTTAAGTAGTTTTTGAGCTAGATAAACTTCACAGTCTGCCAAAATTCCAACAGGAGAACCATTTAATAGTAAGTATCTCCAACAGAAAATTCACTTCCACAGAACAAGCGACAAGGACAAATTACTTGAGTGCACTGAACATTAAGAGGGGGAGAGGAAATCTACTGTATTATTTACAATAAACTTGTCAAAACCTTTTCAAGTTAAATAAACACACGACCAGGAATGTCATACCTTTGCAGTAGTGCATTCAACCATTTGTGCTTCATCGAGGCAGATCCTCCACCACTCTACTGCTACTAAGGGGCTTGGGATGGCCATGTACCGCTTCTGGTTCCTGAAGCGGCGCCCATCTTCGCTGTTGCTGTGGGGGATGTCCACATAGTTCAGTTCAGTGCGCAGGACATCATACGTGGTGATAACCACCTCTTGCTCTGCCAACATGTGTGGCTGCAAAAAGCCATGCTTCTTCACACCTTGATACACCTACATAGATTTATATTCAATAGCAAAATAGCAAAAATGAAAACGTCAGAGATACTTTAATAAAAATGCCAAAATATCAGTACAGCTTAGATGTATTTCTCACCATGCTAGTGTAGGAGTACAGATTTTATGAATGGTTTCATATTAATGAGCAACACTGCTAGAAGCATGCATATACTAAGTAGCATAATAATAAATACAATACAGTCACTGATGCAAAAGTTTTATGTATCATTATTTATAACATTGCAAAACATTTTTTCTCCTTTGAAGAAGAGAGGACTTCGTTATTTTCTTCAACAGTTATCTGTTGTAATTTGTTGTTATTTGCTTGGAGATTAAGTATTCTGTAATGTTGTATGGCACAACATTATGTAAGTTACGTGTCTAGTCTTCTTTTCTCCTTTACTGTAGATGCATTACCTGTGTTCCCATTGCCACAAAAATTTAATGGATGATTAGGCAAAGACAGAGATATGCATCAAAATATATAATAACTAGAAATGATACTCTGAGTAAAGTTTTATCTACAAAAGGATTTCTGTGGAGACTTATGAGATGAAAAGAATACCCTAGTAAGAAACAATCCGTGTGCACCAACAGAATATTTTTATAAACCTTTCATACTGACATTTGTTCTATTATCAGAAGTACTTTTATTTCCCTCATAATTTTAAGCCAAAACCTTTCAGAAGCATACAAAAATTAAAATAACTGCTCTTTACCCCTTAATGATCAGCACGTGACTTCACTGTTAATCATACCTTTTCTTCCAGTAATAATCTTTCTCTACATTTGTGCATAAGGCAGTGGTGTTTCTGTCAATTGAAAAAAACACCTGCAGAGAAGTTCCTTCTTTTCAGCCCCAGAGTGGAACGACAAAGCATGTGCAACCAGGTCATTGCACATGAAAAAAAAAGAGAGAGAAAGGAGGGTGGGAGGGGAAGAAAAAAGAAACAAACAAACCAAAAGGAGCACGCTCACTGAAGCAAACAAGAAGAAATAAACAGCTGTCAAAGTCTAATGATTTCTTCAAGTATTTATTAACAGATTTTCTGGAGGTTTATAACTTGGCCAAGGTTTGGCTGTTTTCACAGCATCAGGAAAAGACAACCTGTCACAAAGCAAGACCTACTGATGAATTTTAATTTCTTGTTTATTACATAAAACCATTAGAATTTCCCATGAGTTGTAGGCAGTTGGAAGAGTAAAAAGCACACTTCACATGCAATGCAAAAGCTGTTAACATGGGAAACTGGTTCTTTTAAACATCTCCACATTTTTAAACACCTCCACTACCTTTGTTTTACCTCTACAGAAAATAACTCCCCAAATTTTCATTTTGAAGCAACACTGAAAACAAGTCTTGCTTACAGTTGGTAGTTAAAGGAAAATGAAAACAATCACTTAGAATCGAAGGTGTCACACAGTTTCAAGCAGTGACAGTCAGTATTTAAAGTATTTTACTGTTACCATGTAAATATTTCTGACAATTTTCATCCAAGCTGGTATAAAATTTGGACTGGGTCCTAGAAAACCCACGTGAGTTTTACACATTTATGCACTAAATCTAATAAGACTGATCACATATATGGCACCGGAGGCCTAGAATTCATTTATACATTGGGCATCTATGCATAACAGCTGAAGGTACAAAGTTATATCAATCTACTTCTACTGTTATTTTATTCAAAATACATGGAATCTATGGTTTTCAAAGCACTAGATCATTACAAAGGTTCTTGACTACTAAAAATATGAAGGACAAAACTTGACTACATTGGTAGTAAAAGGCAATGGCTACCCTTGAATACTGTGATAACTATATATTAAAAAATCCTGTATAGCCTTATTTACTGTAAGTATAATAAGGTTTATTTTAGTGACAGGGCTATTAGAAATAAAGTAAAAGGATAATACATGGTCTCCAAATAAGTAACATCCAAATAAATAGAGCAGATGTTATAGAGGCAATGCCCAAGTTGTAAGGATGCTGTTTTCAGTAAACACCAAGACACAAGACTTCTTTCATAAAGCCCAAGAACCAGAAATGCAAAACTATGCTCTTTATCTACTGAAACATTTTTTAGCTAGAACAAAACGAGAAGCAACAGTCAGAGAGTTGCTTAGGTGCAAGTGTACAGTGAGACAACACTCAAAACACCTACAGTCAGGCCTTTTTAAGTTCCTTGGTAGTCTTTCAAACAGCCTTTCCTCTCAGAAATCACCTGTTGTTGCAACTGCTCAAAATTTTCTTCCATTTTCTATAGATACCTACCTAGTCCACTGTATTATCTCCCAGTGACCAACTAAAAAGGAAAAAAATTAAAAACTAATTGCAGACAGTCTTTCTGGGACACCAGTGAACCATGTGATGCCAAAGCATAGGTCTACAGCAGGAAATGCAGAAACACAGAGGACAAACAGACCTCTGAACTTCAAGTAACGCAGAATGTCTGACAGGAAGCCCTGAGCTTTGATAAAATAACTCTCCAGAACAGGAAGCTATATAATCTTACCAGAACGCGAAGAGAAGATGATCTTACGTGCCTATTGATCTCATCTACCCACTGATGACAAATAGAACTTGGAGAAATTATCAGAGTCGCTCCTGTGGGAACTGGTTTCATTGCCACAAGGCAATGGGGACAGTAGAAGGGCCTGCTCTTCAGGTTTTCCTCTTTGTAGTTTACACATTCTGCATGCTGCCATAAGTAGCATTTCAGGCACTGCACACGAGCTTTGTAGTCAGCCAATCCAAGCTCACCACAGATGCATTCAAAACGATATTCAGAGGTATTAAATGGAAATACAGAACTGGTATGTTGTACACTACTGTCAGCATGTTCTTGGGAATGTGAGGACGGGACCTTTGGGATTTCCTGCTGGACATCAGCTGTAGTTTTAGAAACATCAAAATCAGGATGACTACACATGTCATTGGAGACAAGGAGGCTGCCATGCAAATCAGGAGATTTTGGGATGACAGTTTCCTGCTTAACATTATTCTCTTTTACAGAGTTCTCATGATCTGCTTCAGATTTCTTGTTATTTTTGCTAGTTGTACAATAATCATGTTCTTCCATGGCAATATCCACCAGTGAAGCAGTTTTACAGATGTGTTCAGATGTGATACCACTATTTTTTGATTCTTTGGTTTGAGTTTTAGCATCAGTCAGCTGCTTCTTCTGAGTGTTTTCTGAAGTCTTTGCTACCTACAAAGTAAAATTAACCAAGAATGTCAGACTTTACATACAGAATTGTCCAGTGTTGTTTAATGTCTACCAGTGCTATTTAATATTTCCATTAATGACATAGACAAAGGGATCTAGTGTACCCTCAGCAAACATGCAGATGACACCAAGCTGAGTGGTGCAGTTGGCACACCTGAAGGACAGGATGCCATCTGGAGGGACCTGGACAAGTTCAAGAAGTGGGCCTATGGGAACCTCATGAGGTTTAACAAGATCAAATGCAAGTTACTGCACGTGGGTCGGGACAACCCCTGGTATCAACACAGGCTGGAGGATGAACAGATCGAGAGCAGGCTGAGGCAGAAGGACTTGCGGGTGCTGGTGGATGAGAGGCTGGACATGAGCCGGCAATATGCACCTGCAGCCCAGAAAGCCAAACGTATCCTGGGCTGAGTCAAAAGCAGTGTGACCAGCAGGGCAAGGGAGGTGAATCTGCCCCTCCACTCCACTGAGGTGAGACCCCACATGGAGTACTACATCCAGCTCTGGGAACTCCAATATAAGAAGGTCATACACCTGCTGGAGCAAATCCAGAGAAGGGCCACCAAGATGATTAGAGGGATGGAGCACCTCTCCCAATGAAGAAATGCTAAGAAAATTGGAATTGTTCAGCCTGAAGAAGAGAAGGCTACAGGGTGACCTAATTTTAACATTCCAGTACCTGAAGGGACTATTTACAAGAGTGTGTAGTGACAGGATAAGGGGGAATAGTCTTAATCTGAAAGACAGTAGGTTTAGATTAGATACTAGGAAGAAATTATTTACCGTGAGGGTGGTGAGACACTGGAACAGCTTCCACAGAGAAGTCCCTGGCAGTGTTCCAGGCCAGGTTGGATGGGGCTTTGGCCAACCTTGTTTAGTGGAAGGTGTCCCCATGGCAGGAGGGGTTGGAAAATAGATGATTTTTAAGGGCTCTTCCAACCCAAATTACTTTCTTATCTTTTTTTTTTTTTTTAACATATAAACACATTAGGACATATATATTACAGTTTTGTATCAATTTCCAGTTTGAGGATTTGGTTAATGTTTACCAGTGTTTAAAAAACACCTTCACAGTAAGAACAATGCAACTTCCAATGCGACTATTTTACAAGATTTATGACAGATGTAGTTAATACTTCAGCACCAAATTTGATCTATGTATGACTTCTGCTTCTTTACTCATGAATGTCAAAGCAAATGCTGCCGTTTTCTTCGTTTTTACCAATAAGTTAGCATCACTGAACTAGTGCACACACACAACACAGCTCCAAGTAGCATGCAATCAGTAGAAAAAAGATCTGTCTTTGCAACACTGATGTAACTGGCAGCACATTTTACCTGCTCTTTGGTTCTTTCTCGCTTCTTCTGTTCCTTGTAATTCTTTCCCAGCTTGAAAGACCCAGCCAGACCATGTCCTTTGACTTGCTCTACTACATGTTCTGCAATTAGTTTCTCTAGAGTTCTTTTGAGAAGCCGTCTATTTCTCTGTGTGTCATACCTATAAATAGCACTGATGTACTTAAATATTGCAACGATGGATGCTCCTTTCTTCACATTCATTTCTTTTACAGCTGTTAATATCATCACTCGTAAGCCTGTATGTAGAATCAAAGCAAAACAACTTACAGCTCAGATAAAATGAAAGTTACCTCAGAGAATGCATATTAAGGGAACTCTAAACATAGTGCTCATCTAAAAAAATGCAAAACAAAGACAGACAGCAGTTTTGCCAATGCTTGACTTGAGGCAGCTCTGCAAATTGCTATTTTGCAGTGAATCCAAGGCAATATTTGACAGTAATAGAAATAAGTCACTCCATTTTCTTACTGAGGCGTAAGAAAGATAGCGTATTTCAGTTAAATGCATAAACTCTTTTACAAAGACCTTTAGTTATATGGACCTCTGTAGCTCAGAGTTCTGAATTGCTAACTTTACTTTTAACTGTGGATCACTTGTTTGTAGCATGCAATCCCACATGACAGTGCCCAGCAAAAGAATAATTTCATTCTGAAGAAGTGAAGAGTAACCTTGAGCTCATAGTCAGTGGTCAATGCCAAAAGCAAAATGTATTTTAAAAGTCATCAGAAATACTTACTGGGATATTGTATTTTTTCCTTCAATTTAGGCTCCATTTCCTTTGTTTTTTTCTTTTTATTTCCTTCTAAAGGTTGAGGTGGAACAAAGAAGTTCACAAGCTTACCCTAATACAGAGAACATTAAATAGTTATTAGCTCATGCCTCTTCACAGTCCCTCTGACCTTCATTAATGTTTTCACATTTGAAAATAAGCATGAGCTGCTACAGATATATGTTCTGATCTCACCAATTTGCTTAGATAGCTCATTTTTAATGTACAGAATGACACCTCATTCAGATTAGTTTTTTGGCAAATGGTGTTCAGCACCTACAGTGAGAACAGAAAGAGTAGCCCTGCAAGCCTTTTCGGGTCCTTCATTGCTTCGGAATTAAGTTGCATTAATCTATAGCTGTTAAGTGATCTAGGTTACTGATGGGGAGGAAAATATATATTTAATATATAGTAAGAAACAAAAAAAAATAGGTAAACAATACAGAGGAAAAGCCCTAGTTAGTTGTACAAAAAGTATCTTTTCTTTTTAGGGTTGTCCCCCCTCAATTTGACTCTATTATGAGTGATGCAGGAATAGTGAGTCAATCCAAGGAAATGTATACTCAAAAACTGGCATATAAAGAAGAATCTCAAAGCTGGGAAAAAACACTGCAAATATTTCTATTATTGTTTTATAGCTATATCCACTGACACTTCACTCTGCCCTGTCCAATTAGTTGCTCTGTAGGGTTCTTAAACAGTAACTGCAATGAAATTCCAGACACTGTTTGAACCCTACAGAGAGTTGAAATAATTGGAGTAACTCTGGCATTGGCTTACACAACCCAGGAGTCATCCAAAAAGTCTCTGGTGGAATAAAGCACTTCTGGTTTTACTTTTGTTTGGGGTTTTTTTAGGACATCACACAAAGACATTTTATATTTGAAGACAAGAAAAATACAAATGACAAGGGGCCTTCTGGATTAATGGAATACTACCTTTCAACCACAGGCAATGTCATATAATTCTGCTTATAAAGGTCCCAAAATATTAGCTAAGATGTCTGTCCCAACTACTTGTATCGTGAAACAGTTCCACTAACTCCAGCTTTCCAAAAGTTAAGGTTTCTAGTTATTGTCATCAGTTGACATCCACGTGCATTACTGCTTATACTCCCCTCTTCTCACTTCTCAGTGCTGACTCTCTTACACATTTAAGAATCATCTTATTCTCTCAGAGAATTGAGTACTTTTAACTGATAAAATTACAAGCAGGCAGGAGATTATTATGAATAAATGTAAAATGAAACAGGCTGCCATGAATTCAAAGGTATGGAACCCATGAAGTGGTAAGAGTTTACTTAAGAATAACGGTTCTTTTCCTTCAGAAAGAATTTTTGGTTTTAGTGAATGTGCTAAGTTTTCACAGTATGAGTGATGAGGAAAGTGAAAAGATGGAAAACTGTTGCTAAATAAGCCCATTTATTATATGAAATAGAGGGAGAGCAGAAATCTTTATTTACTGAGTGTAAATTGTCCCTATTTTAGCATAGAATGTATGGCTAATGGATGTTTGATACTCATCAATACAAAGAAGTGAAGGAGAGAATGACATCCAACATAGTAAACTAACATATTTATAGACTCCTGAAGCCTGTGTAAACTATATAAGCAGTGCAGTTGCCTGACAACACCCTTGAACAATAGCAAACTATCAACTGCTTCTCATGCAAACTATTCCACCATTTATGCCACCAAGTATCATGTCCTACAAAGGAAAAACTGTCCTTGCAATACAGCTTTAAATACAGAGTTCTACAAACGAGAAAGCACCTAAGTCAAGAGAAGTGCATTGGCATTAATTCTGAAAAGCACTTTCTTCATAATAGCTTTCATCCTGGTTTCCTTACCTCAGGTAATGTCAGATCATCTTGTTTAATGTCTGGTCCAGTATGATTCAGAATAAGAGCCAACACTTCTACTGTTTTCCCAAGACCCATCTCATCTGCCAAAATACCTCCAGGCCACTGGGGTCCAGCAGTTGGGTATTCACGGATAATACTAAAATTCAAGTGCATTCCGAAATGAAAGTCAATAACTACAGAATGGTGTGACAGAAGCAAATGTTCAGGAACACGCAGCACAGCTTTAGCAAGGCTAAGTTTGTAGGGTGAGGCATTATCTTTGTTTAGTTTAGATGAGATTAAGAAATGTTAAAAAGCTTTTTGGATCTATAAACCCGAAAAAGACAAATATGTATGCCAGAATTTTTAGAATTTTTTCACCTCCTAATAGACCTTGCCCCGCTAACCTTGGCATATCATAATATTAGACTCAAAGAATTGAAATATTTTTATATTCACATATCACAGATCTGACAGTTATACAGGGAAAAACAGAATGCAAACTAGCAATCAAAAGGTTCTATTCTAACCAAATCAACGAGAAAAAAGAAACAGATTTAGTAATGCAATACCCAGCTTTAATAAAAAGCATTATACTGCCACCTTCCTTTAGACTTTAAACACAGTGGATAAGAAGGTCAAAGTCTCCAATGCCCTAATGTTAATATTAAACCACAAATTTATTGAAATTTAAAAAAAAAAAATCTTCAAGTCTTCAACTTGAGATTTACATATTTACCTGTGCACTATATATTCCAATTTGTCCTTTTTTTTCCAAATAAAGATATCACTGTTCTAATTCTTTAGTTGCTAACTGAAACACGAGATATGGATTATCTTATATCCTTCAGGATAAAGCTACCAATGAGGTTTTCACAAAGTACAATCCTGAGGCATTCTCAGAAAGAGTAACTATAAAAACATACCAGCCAGTGAATGGATTATAGTAGATTTTTACTCCATCCAGAGTGATCACCTCCCGCCATAAGAAGTGCAGTGCATTTTCTATGAAGAAAGCGTTCATGTTACTATTGTGAGGTTTCTCTATAAACAGCACACTGCTTAGAATTGTTCAGCCTTATTGTGACATTTAGAGACAAAAAGCTGAAGTCTACCTCCACAGAGCTTCATGACCAACAAGGTACATCAGCTGCTGTTCAGCAAGACCTAAGCTCACCATTTAGTGTACTAACCAAACAACAGCTTTTATGGAAATAGTAAAGAAATAATTACCAAAACTTCTAATCAAACAGTAAGAAAACATCACTGCTGACAATACAATTACACTTTCCTCAATTATGCAAGTTTTCCAGATCCATATACTTGCCACTGCTTGGAGCGTTTGTGTGGTTCTCTCGGTGAAGCATCCAATTCACAGCCTCACTTTGGTATGGCCTCAGAATGGGAATTAATGCAGGATGCTGCACATCCTTTCTAAGTAACTGGATATCCTGCTGATGGGTGTGTCTTACAAAGTCATAAAGCTCTTCAATATTTTGTCGCTCTAGTTCCATGTCAGATTCTTCCTCATCTTCCTCCAGCTCATCTGCATACACCAAATAATTCAAGATGCTCATTATCAATCAAATTGGGACAACATCTCAGTAAATTTTGCTGCAACATATTTAGTTAACAGATGAAAGTAAGCAAAGTAAAATGTCATTTAAACATATGTCATGACTGCACCTAACTCAGCTAGCAGCAGTAGTAACAATGAGCACTGCTTTACAGATTAATAACTGAAATAAAGTAAAACTATGTAAAATAATAACAACAGTAATAATAGTGATAGCAATGAAAAAAAGAGAGAGATTAACAAAACCCAAGAACCACAAGTGATGCACAATACAATTGCTCGCTACCCACCGACTGATGCCCAGCCCATCCCCAAGTGGTGACTGGTGGTTCCCAGCCAATTCTCACCAGTTTATAAACTGAGCATGATGTTCTATGGTATGGAATAATCCTTCAGCCAGTTCAGGTCAGCTGTCCTGGCCGAGCTCCCTCCTGGCATCTTTTGCATCTCCTCACTGGAAGAGCAAGGACTGAAAAGTCCTTGACCTGGGGTAACCATTACTCAGCAACAAGTAACACATAATTGAGTTACAAACATTATTCTCACACTGAACGCAAACACACAGCACTGTACCAGCTACTAGGAGCAAAACTAACTGTATCCCAACTGAAACCAGGACAGCAGAAATTTAATCATAGCTTGCTATGGTGATCACAGATGTATACAAAATCAGAAAAGTTCTTTCTTTAGAATTTAGGTATAGAATGACCAGATCTTATTTATTTGATAAAGACCTTCCACTAAACATTTTCAACTAGTACAGAATCACAAATATCTCACGTTTCAGATTTAAATATTAATATGGGTCAATGACCTTACAGAAAGGAGAAAACTATAGTGAGTTGTCAGGCATTTGTCATTCATTTTTTATGAAATAAAGTCTTTCTTTATAAAAAAACACATTTTAAAAAGCAATACAGGAGATTCTCTTCAGAGAGCTTTCATGTTAAACTTAAGTTATCCATCTGGATAAGAAAATTGTAGCAGTAGGACAACACTTAATTTTCACTACTTGCATCATTGCAAAAATTCAGACAAGGCATACTTTGGAAATTAAAAACCCACTTCAAGAGAAGTATGCACCCTTTAGGACAGAAGGCCTACCCTTCTTTTCTACCCTCTAGGAAAGAAGACTTTGTGCTTATGTATTTTTCACAAAATTTGGATATATGGGCATACAAAGAACTTAAGCACTGCTGAACAAAAATTCATGAAAAATTCAAGGGTCAGCATTCTAGGAAACTGACATAAAGTGAGAGAACAAAAGACTTAGAGGACAAGTTTTAACAGTATTTTAGTTCTCAAATTAAAAACACTGGTACCAAAAAAATACAGAAAGATACTAAGCCTAGCCAACACTGGAGACAAAGTCACCCTGCAAAATTTTTCTAAAAAAACCCCAAAACTTGGAAGCAAGTCAGAGTCGTCATTTCCAGCATTAAGTGACCTTAAAATGACCTTAAAAACTCTAATAAAACAGCTAATGACGGGCACAATAAAATGAAATTATAATTCCTATGTCTTGGGCTAGCAAAGAAGAGAGGTACCTGGCCCAAACACTAGAGAACTTAATCTTAAAATAAGGTTTGGGAGCTGCTAATAGGCTCTTTCATGAAAAAGAAAAGCATCCTTTCATTCAAATGGATTGTGAAGGTGAAGAATGAAATGGTGTGCCTAAGTATGGCAGCCATCAGTGCCTTCCCCAATCCTTTTAAATCAAAGAAACAATTCCAGTGCTTCACAAGGGAAAAAAGAATTCTGAAAGACACTGAGTTTATATATAGTCATGAAAACTATATACATATAAGACTTGCAGGATAAACCAGGCAATCAGAGTACACATGTAGGGTTATTAATATTATAGCCAAATGAAAAGCACCAAGCAAAGTACTCAGCTTTATATATTAAAGAAACCATTCAAAGGCATCCTCTAACACATATCCCTCACTTTAGGAAAAAGCAGAAAATTAGAATGACTGCAAAGTATAACTTCAATCAATGAATTCAATCTACAATGACACCTATCATTATACTTGCTAAAATAACAGTTTTCAAATCTCACAATTTTAAGCATAATAAATTGACTTCTATAAAAACTAAGTCGACCCAGAATTTTACGGGGGAGCAAAGACTACAATATACTTTAGAGCAATTTTTTTTCAAACAGTTGGGTATTTTTTGTCCACACCTTTCTTGTTTTGTTCATTCTTTCAAAGATTTTTTTTTCCTTGATTAAATGGTTCTACGTACCACAGAGATTTTTTAAAGGATGCTAGGGAAGTTTACCCTTCTCTCAGTTACTTATTTAACAGTGAATATTTAACTATGCTTTCAATCATTTCAAAATGTAATTCAAAAACACAGGTTTCATCTTACTCTTTTTTACATTTGAGAAGCAGATGTATTGTACTATCTAAAAATTCAGTTTCTCTGACACTTTTCGAGTACTCTACTTAATTCCTTCAATTACTGACTGAATTACAGTTCTGCTGTTGCACCTGAAGAAGGATCCTTCCATTTCCAGATGGCTGTATCTGCATTAATGAAAACATAATCTTTTTCCCCATTATTCTAGATTAATGGAAAACTTGTTGCTTTGGATTTAGTAGTAAATAACACATACAAATACCAAAACCAATAACCAACAAATGTTATGTAATATGACATTGCCAGCTACTATAGCTCCATGACACTGTGGGAAAACAAAAACCAAACCACTTACCATTCACTAGAACAAACAGCAATTAAACAGACATTTTAGTCTCCTTTTTTTATTTTAATTATAAAGACTATGTTTTTTTTCATATTAAGAAACCAGCTTGCTGGATCTTTAAATAATTTATGCCTCTGTGTTCACTGAAGCTAAAAGCAGCATGCAATATTACATGGCAGATATGGGATACAAGCTATTATAAAACCAGTTATTTATTAAAGCAAACAAAATAAATCTCTGCAAACAATTTCCTCAAAAAAGGAAATTTCCTCTACTAATTAATTCTGCTAACTCATAAAGCTTCTCCATATTCTGCACAGTGAGTGAACCATCTAGGGAAGATGTCCTGCTGGATGAATTGTTCATGAACAAAGAAGGGCTGGCAAGTGATGTGATGATTGGAGGCCATCTTGGGCGTGGCAATCATGAAATGATAGTTTTTGGTTCTTGGAGAAGTAAGGACGAGTGCCATCAGAACTGCTACCTTGGACTTCAAGAGGGCAGACTTTGGCCTGTTTAGGGGTGTGGTTGACAGAGTCCCTAAGGAGGCAGTCCTGAAAGGCAAAGGGGCTGGACATTCTTAAAGAATGAAATCTTAATGTACAGGAGTAGGCTGTCCCCCTGTGCCAAAAGATAAGGTGGCAGGGAAGACCAGCCTGGCTGAACAGGGAGCTTTGGCTGGCTGGAACTCAGGGAAAAAAGAGAGGTTATGACTCTTGGAACAAGCGGCTGGCAACTCCAGAGGACTACAAGGATGTGATGAGGTTACTGCATTCAATTTTGGGTCCCTCACTACAAGAAAGACACAGAGATGCTGGAGCATGTCCAGAGCAGGGCAATAAAGCTGGTGAAGGGTCTGGAGCACAAGTCTTATGAGAAGCAGCTGAATTAGCTGGGATTGTTTAGCCTGGAGAAAAGGCAGACAAGGGGGGGGGGGCACAGTATTCTCTACAATTACCTGAAAGGACAGTGTAGTGAGGTAGGGGTCAGTCTCTTCTCCCAAGTAACTGAACAAGAGGAAATGGCTTCAAGTTGTACCAGGGGAGGGTTAGATTGGATATCAGGAAAAATTTCTTCACCAAAAGGGTTGTCAAGCTTTGGAACAGGTTGCACAGGGAAATGGTTGAATAACTATCCCCGGAAGTATTTAAAAGACGTGTAAATGCGGCACTTAGGGACATGGTTTAGTGATGGACTTGGCCATGTTGGGTTATACGTTGGACTCAATGATCTTAAAGTTCTTTTCCAACCTAAGTGATTCAATGATTCTATGATTCCATATTAAATATTTTGTCACCTTTTTTTTTTTAGGTTCCTTACTGCATCTATGCTATGCTTGCCATAACTTGAGATGGAATTCCTACCACAAAATCTCAAAACCATCTCTAGAAGGATATTAACGGAAGGAGTACATAGAGGAAAACAAATATATAAAAATAAAATGTAGGGATTCAGAGGTCATGTCTCTTATTTGCGTAAAATCTTGTGCACAACTCCATCAACGCAAGAATTTGCTTATCAGTGGGAAGAACAAGAAACCTCATCTTGGAATGCTGCTGCATAGAGTTCACTTTAGATGGATACTGACAAGTGTTCAAATACGTAAGTACAAGCAATTTAAAAAAAAATCAACTATTTCTGTTAAACAGGTGGATTTTAAACATGACTAAGTTGCTAGAAGTGCTTAAAAGGAATACATTCATCAGCATACAATCAAGACTATATTATTTTATGCTACATCAATAAGGAGGTGCTTAAAAACTGTTAGAAAATGAAACTAGTTTCACAGTGTGTAATCACCTGGGGTCTTCCCTCACAAATATTGTTCATTTGTGTGACACACTTTTTCTGAATTCAGAGCACAGCACAATGCACACTGTGGACTTACATAGTGGTTTAATGATCCTGTTTTGTTCTCTAATACTTCCAGGATAACTGTTTACCTTTGATTTGGTTTGACTAGCAATGAACACTAAGGTGATACATTTACTGAGCTCTACACCTACCTACTCAGCTACAACCCGAGTTGCAACAATTAGCAAAGAGGCCATAATTTTTTTCTTCTGCATTGCTCTATATTTATCTATTGAATTTCTACTGAAGCTGCACTGCCTAATCTGCTTGCAAGCTTTTAGTTGTTGTTCATCTCTGTTATGCTGAATAATACATTTAAACTTTGTTGACAGCATTTCACCAATCGCTCTTTTTCTCAAAGCATACATTAAGCTGCACATGCCTTTGTAGAACTTGACCGGTGATTACAATCATTTATTTCTATTCTCCACAACAGCTATTTTACTTAGCCATTTAAACGGCATTCATTGGTATAAAATCAAGACTCTATTGTTATTTTATGTTACACCAAAACGTACATGGTGAAAAGCGGTCAGAATATTTACCAGTTGGCAACACAGCTGCTTTATGAACCTGAGCTGGTTACATGGCTTCTGAAAAGTTAAGACATAGCAACTAGCAACCCAATCACTCACAGCCACATTCTTGCTCCAGTAACTTTGAGTTACGTCTTCCCTTCCAGCAAATGCCTCTTCAACTGTAAGCAGCACTGAATCACGTAGTCCATAAAAATATATCCTTTAGAGTAGTGAAGACAGATGCCTCAGGTTCCAGCAGAAAATTATTCTGGATCTCAGAATACATCACTGGTCATTTTCTTTGCAAACAATCTCTTTCCCCAACTCTTCCTCAATGAGAAGATATGCAGAGAAGAAAAATGTGCTTTCTGCCATAGCATTACTTTATTTCAGCATTCTATCATATGCCTTAGTCATCTCAAGTCTATGAATTCTCTGGCAAATATTCTGCTTCTAATGCATGTATGATGACGTATTTCTCCTAATGCATTTAAAAGCATTACTATTCATTTCTATACCTTAAAATATTTATACTTCAGACTTCTTTGATCTGCTTTATTGTGCTTTTAAACTTACACTGACATGTCTGTGTCAGTCAGATTACTTCAGTTTTTGGAAGGATGACTTCTTATGTGCAATATCTTCCCTTCCCCACATACTTAGCTATACTGGCCCATCCCTTGGTACACCTCAAGTCTTTTCTTACAGTTCCATGTTTGTTCTTCACAGCAAGTAAGGATGTTCAGATTTTATTCTGTTAGCATTCCTTTTAAGCTTCTCTTTAGCAAGTTGCCTAATTTTTTACACAATTCTGCCTTTTTAAATTAAGTACAATTGTATGGGGGTGCTAGGCTTCTCTCGCTTCTGCAAGAACACTCAAACTCAGAATACTACAGTCACTGTTATTGAGCCAGCCTTCAGCTCACATTTTGAATCAATACTACACTCAGGAACAAGACTAAGTTTGTTTTTTTCACAAGTTTCCTAAGCCATCATTTATCACTCTATAAATCTGTATTACTACTGAGTATTTTCTGGCAAACATATCTTCAATTCCAAAATTACAACAAGGCCCAAAGTTGTAAATCTGTAGTGGTATATTTTCAGAACTGTCATAAAGCTGCATTTTGTAGTGGTTTACATTATAACTGCTATACAATATAAAACACACAGAAATCTATTCCATAGTTTTGTGATAGACACCAACCTGGGAACAAAATTTTTCCAAATTTAATTCCTGGTTTGTTTAAATAGTTCCTGTGTAACTCTGAGAAGCTACCGTAGATCTGTTCAACCAACCCACAAGAATCAGTGAAAACTGTATTTACTCCCAAAAAGGTAAGGACTCAAACATCTCTGTGTTTCAGTGCCTTATCTGTACAGAAGAAATATTATCACCTCTAATTTCAGCATAAACTAATTAGCATGTGATTAATGGTCAGATAATAATATTGACATACCTAACAACATTACCTTGAAACTAAAAGTCAGTCTAGATGGCAGGAACAATTACCATTTTTCCTTACATTTAAAACTACCACACAAGACACACTTTAATAACAAAAACTGTTTGTCAACAATCAACTTTATTGCATTACCTGGAATTAAAAAACTGTAGAACTTTTCCATGAGTTTTTGAATCAGCTGATTAGCTTTTTTGGGCCTTCCACCTCCATCACTGAGAAACTCTGGTTTACTTAGCCCAGCTTCAAGAAGGTAAATTCCAACCTGTGAAAGGGTTATACAGTTAATAATTTAATTAGTTGTTAAAATTACAAGAATATTATAAACAGAAGAACACGAAAATAACAACAGTGCTTTGAAAATCAGCAAGTATAGACAGATATAATAAATCTATTAAAAATACCATATAGAGGAATTACAACTAAAAGCTTCTGTGATTCCTTCGGGTAATACATTGCTAATAGTGAAAAAGTAAAAAGTCATTTTCAGAAAAAAACACACTGAAAAAATTACAAAAGCATGTAGAAACTATACATTTTCATCACATTATAAAATATATGGTAGCTGCCAGACTTTGTTGTTCAGAGGTTTCTATTTTACATTTCAAACAAAAAAAGAAAAACTTTCAAAATATATATAAATGCATACCTTTAAAGTCTGAGCCTCTCCAGGTCTTTGATAAAGTCCAATTATCTTTTTCTTTTGCAACCATCTCAAGCCTTCCAATATTTCACCACTTAAAGTTGGTTCCACCAAAATACATTGTTCATAAGCACCCAGGTATTCTTTAGTTTCATTACTATACTCTTCTTCACTTCTTTCATGAACACAGACCTGCAGCTGATCATCAGAGTCTCCTCTCATTAAAGTAAAGCTCCTTTCATGGAATTCATCAGCTAGAATTTGCTCAGAAGGAAGATGTAGAACAAATTCTCCCAACAAAACCTTCCAGGACCCATCTGCACGGTATGGCAAGACTATAATATTTAGCTGTACAGACACAGGAGTCAAGATGGAATAAGAGTCGTCTTCATCATTAACTGTCAAAAACTTAACAGATTTTGAGCCACTGCCTTCTTTTTGTACAAGATCTTCATCAGTGCTATCATCATTTATAACAATGAAGGATGCAGAAGTGCTTGGAACTGGAACGTGGTCCTCATTAGTCACTTCATCATCTAACGTTACCATCTCATTTCTCCGGTCTTCATGCATGTTCCAGCAGAGCTTTTTCTTCTTCTCCTCATCTACTTTCGATGGAGGTGCGCGTTTTCGTCGACTACTCATTTTGTTGTTTTCTCAACAGTACTTTCAGTCCCTGCAAGATGAAGTAAATCAGTCAGCAATAAGCATTATAAAATCAAATGTCCACACTAAAATTCTACCATGCAACAGTAGCTAAACTTGTAAAATGTTCAGACACAAACATATGCAGTAAAAACTCTAATTGTTCAAAAGTATTAGTTTTACAGAGCCTTCCCTATTCCTGTGCCATCACACAAAGCTGGATAGTAAGCATTGCCTTGTGCTAGATCTTATAATTTTGCCAGACAGCGACAGACAGAGATCAACAAGAATGTTTCATTTCACAGCTGTTACTCAGACTCTGTGGGACAGATATAAACCAAGAAGCAGAGGAATCCTCAAAGATGGGGGTGGAGGGAGACAGCAAAAGAAACTCCACAAACAAAAGTGCAGGAAGTACAGGAGATTTGGGGGCGAGTGTGGGGAAAATACACAAAAAATTCCTCTTTCCTTTCAAATCCTACATAGACATGAAATTTTAAGCAAACTTGACACAGGGCTAGTCTGAAGCTGCCATTACATAAAATATGGTTTAGAGCCTAAGCTATCAAGTTCTGTCCTTCAAAGACGCCAGTGACCTTCCTACTAGTATTCAATACTTTATTTTCCCAGAAAACTGTGTATCCTGAGATCTGAAAACACAAACGGCTTACAGAAGAGGCCTTAGTTATTCTATTGCATTTCAGTGGGACCAATCATCAAACTAAATGCATAGTCTTATTGATTTTGACTTCACCCTTGAGAAAAGACAACACAGAATCGTGTCTTGCAGAATATACCACCTAAGGAGTCTTTCTGCGGTGCCTTTTGCAACCAGATGTGCCTATCCCATATTGGCCTTCTTAGCCATCAGTGCGCTTGTAAGAAACTGGGTAAAGCCCTCCCCCAAATCTTCGTTCATGAAGCCTAGCCATGATGATAATTGATTTTGACTAACTGCAAAGTCAAGTCAAGATGCACATCCAAATTCTTGACTAAACCTGGGCATAGAACAGATTTTGTTAAAGAAATACCAGAAAATAAAGTACACACGCTAAACAATACATAGGAGGAAGCAGATTATGGAATATTAGACCCATCTGGGAAACTAATAACTACATACTCAAAACTACATGCTCATAATTAAATACTAGAATAAGTAGTAACTTTCTTTTTAAAAAGAGACTTTTTATAAGGAGCCTGAACCCAATAGATCTATGACCTAATTTTATCCTCTGTCAGTAAAGACAGGAAAATATTTAGATATCCATGTCAATTCAGTTTCTGCATACACTTACAAAGAAATGCAGGAAGGTGAGAGGAAAGTATTCCAAGCTACTAAATCCAGCATGCCAGCATTTATGCTGGAATAGGACAGAATTCTTATAACTCTGAATAATTTTAGAAGGGTCTCAAAGAAAAAAAAAACAAAACAAAAACAAAACAATAAACAAACACTATTTGATGATTTATGAAAGCCAAAGGAAACATTCTAGAATATAGAAATCTTGCCTGTTTGAATTTCAAACACAGAAACACAGAATCAATTAGGTTGGAAAAGACCTCAGAGATCATCGAGTCCAACCTATGACCGAGCACCACCATGTCAAATAGACCGTGGCACTAAGTGCCACATCCAGACTTTCCTTAAACACCTCCAGGGACGGTGACTCCACCACCTCCCTGGGCAGTCCATTCCAGTGTTTAATCACCCCTTCTGTGATTAGGGGTTCCTAATGTTCAATCTAAACCTCCCCTGGCACAGCTTGAGGTCATGTCCTCTCGTCCTGTCACTGGCTACCTGGGAGAAGAGGTCAATCCCCACCTTGCCACAACATCCTTTCAGGTAGTTACAGACAACAGAATTGAGGGAAGGCGAGTTTTTCAAAGTAATGCCCATGCACACGAAGCGACGCTGACAGTAATCGGAACCAACCCTGACGGGAGCAAACACCGCACTTAACCCAGAGGCAGAGGGATCCCTACGGCATACCGGAATGCACATGAACGCCAGCCTGGGCACCGCACTCTGACGAGCAAAGCGGGAGAACCGCTCTGTGTGAGTGAGAGGCGTTTAAAACTCCCGCGAGCTGGAGACGGCCGTGCCCACACCCCGCAGCAGCAGCACCCCTGCACAGCGGGGCCCGTGAGGCGACCTGGGCCTGAACGCCGCACCGAGCGCCCCAGAACCCCGGGCCAGGGGCCTTCCCACCGCGCCCCACCGCCGGAACGCGGGCACAGCTCGTTGTCTCGAGCGAGGAAAGTGACTTGAAGCTCGGGAAGGCGAGGCCAGCGGGATGAGACACTCCGCGACAGTCCCTGGAGGGGTCCACGCGGCCGCGGTGACCCGGCCCCGCCGCACCCCCGGTCACCGCGCAGCTGGCCCGCAGCACCCACTGCTCCCCGCACAGGCGACTCGCCTAGGCCCCGGGCCGCCCAGCCCCGCCGCCCGCGGCACGGACATGGCGACCCCCCGGAGCCGCGAGGGTGAGGGGCGAGGAGAGCGGGGCTCGGAGCCCCGGACGTACCGAAGCGGTGACGCTGCAGCCCCGGCGGCCGTGGCTGCTCCCGGCTCGGGAGGGGCCCCCCCGCGCGGCGGCGGCGGCGGGGGGGCGGTACGAGGGGGGCGCTGCGGGGGTCGCGACCCTTCGGCCCCGGGCGGTGCCCGACGGAGCCCCCGCCGCGGAGCGGGGGGCGGGGTCAATGGGGAGGGGGCGGGCACGGGAGTGCGCGCGCACCCGCACCGGCCCGGCCAGCAGCCAATGGGCTCCGAGGACAGTGACATTTGCTCCGCCCGCCCCGCGCGCCGGCGGAAGAAAGCAACAGGAAGGGTAGAGGGTAGCGCAGGCGCAGTGGGTGCACCCCGTGAGGGGGCGGGGAAAACTCCCTTGCCCTCAGTGGGGCGGGGCCGGGCGGGCACGGGCTGTGACATCACAGGCGGTGGGCGGGGGCGGTGCTGGGAGGTGGGTCCTCAGGGAGGAGGTAGAGGTGAGAACCTGTGTGTGATTGAAGCAGTGCACGGGAAGTTTCTCTTGAACTTGAGGAAGAACTTCTGCACTGTGCGGATGATCGAGCGCTGGAACAGGTTGCCCAAAGAGGCTGTGGAGTCTCCCTCACTGGAGGTACTCAAGAACCATCTGGACGCAATCCTGTGTCAAGCGGTCTGGGATGACCCCGTTTGAGCAGGGGGGTTGGAGCAGATGACCCACTCTGGTCCCTTCTGACCTCACCCATTCTGTGATTCTGTGAGTGAAACACTTGGGAGGAGAGAGGACACACATAGTGTGTTAAGTCTGCATGAGAAGAGCAATGTAAAGAGTGAGTTTCAGGGCTGTCAGCACTGCGGAAAGGCAAAATCAGGTCAACCAATTTTTAATGATAAATCATGACTAGGCTTCGCGAATGAAGATTTGAGGAGGGCTCTACCCACGTTTCTTACAAGCGCACTGGTGGCTAAAAAGGCCAATACGAGACAGGCACGTCCGGTTGCAAAAGGCACCGCAGAAAGACTCCTTAGGTGGTATATTCTGCAAGACATGATTCTTTCTGCATTGTCTTTTCTCCTCAAGGGTGATCCTGCGTGCTTTCTCAAAAGCATCAGCAGCGTTATAGATGGTGTGTCTCCGGACCTCCCGATTGGAGGCCAGAGTAGACCAGTTATGTTGATCAGTATGGCCAAGGCTGAGATGTTGTTTCAGGGAGTCCTTGTATCTTCTCTTTGGGGCTTCTCTCATGCAGCAGCTGGTGGCAAGTTCACCATAAAGCAGGATCTTCGGGAGGCGGTGGTCCTTCATCCTTGAGACGTGCCCTGCCCAGCGCAGCTGTGTTCTCAGTAACATGGAGACGAGCCAGTTCATGGGTAATTATGGCAGAACGTCACTCAGGACATCTGCTATGTGCAGAATCAAGCATGGTTCTGATGTTCCAACATGCTAGAGTTAATTTAGGTACACCTGGAGGCAGGTGCATGCCTTTGTCTTTTGGTCTTTGTGCGACCGCATTGGAAGAAGGTGCCGTTGGCCTGCAGTTAACCAACTGGGTGAAGGTGGAGATGAGCTTTGTTTCGTAGTGATTAGTACCTAGTAATTTCCCTCCTGTTCTGAAGAACTTCAATGCAGGAAAGAAGATCATTGCCATTTAATCTAACAAAATAAAAAGGAACAGTATAAAGAGAAGAGAATATGACATAAAATGAGACCATGTGATTTTTTTTTACCACATTTGAGAACATAGCCTCCCTTGCCTATGGATAAAAATTCCCCTATGCTCTCAATGGCAACTCTTAAATCCCAGAAGTAATCAAATAACATCAGGAGACATGTTACTTTGCAAAGGGTTTCTTTTTTGAGGGAGGATGGAGAAAACAGCATGTTAGTAATTTTGGTATTTTAGGGTCCTTTTCACCAATATTTTAGTTGCAAAGGCAAGCAGAAGTTTTCTAAAGAAAATAAAAATTGCATTTGTCTCCAGATCGGTTCTGGCAGAAAATGTGAATGCTTATAGTAAGCGAATAAAACTGAGGGCAGACAGGCTACATTCCCTGCACTACAATGATTGTACATTATGCTGAAGAGCTAACTGTGCCATACTTTGAGCTGTATTGATAAAAATCACTATATGATAGAAATGGAAAGATGGACACCAGTGGAGCCATAATATCATTCCAGTCTATTCCCGATTAATAAAATTGTAATCAGTATTCTATGCCCTGGTAGGAAATTATTTCTGTAAGTTCAGCTCTATCCAGCTTCTGTAGTGTTTGGTGTTTTAATATAGCTATCATAGTGAAACTTTGAAAGTGTTGTCATAAAATTGCTACCATCCACAGTGCATAATACTGCTTTGGGCAAAAGAGTAGAGGATTTAAATATTTTTTGGAGAGCTACAAAGAGTATTATTGTGTGCCAGAAGCAATCATGTAAGCCAGTAAACTAACTCTCTAGCATGCAAACAATGCCATGAAGCCACAGGATGGTAAGCCTCCCTTTGTTCACTTCTTCAAGTCTTCAGCTCTGTTTCTTCAAAACGGAGAAGTTCAACGTACCACTTGTGCCCTTCTGCCTCTTATCACAGCATCTCCTGGGGAAGTCTATCTGCTCCCCACAGAATAACACTCTTCAGACCATCCGTCTCAGCTCACGTGTATGCACAATTCTTGTACACCCTTGTCCATCTGCTACTCAGCTGAGCTATGTGCTGGTTTTCTGAAAACCAGGTGATACACCTGACCTCAGGACTGACAGTAGCAGCTGATCAGTCACTGGTGGGAGTTAAGCCCATCTCCCTTTTTCCAAGAGAAAAGGACAGTGAAAAAGACTATCTAAATATAGAGCAGAAAAAAAAATAACCATGTCATTGCATCTAGGACATCGTCTAGAGTTACTGTGCAGGATTTGGAATCCAGTTCTTGGAGTTATTTAAATATATACCTAAATAAGGTGTTTTCATCACTTTAATATTCCTTTTACAAGCAAAAATGCATAAAGGAAAAGTTTGCAGTTCCTGAGAAAAAACAAGCCCTCTAATAAAACTGGAATTAAGTAAATAAAATGTTTATAATAAAATCAGTAAAAGCATTTGGAAATTTAGGCTCAAAGTATAGATGTTGGTAACATAATACATGGCACAGTGGTTTGGAGGAGAGCTGAAGGATGCTCACAATAAAGAGATATTTCAGACATTGTCTATGAGAGATATATTTCTTGTCAGTGAAAAATCTTGGTTTTCACACTCTGGCAAGAGAAGATTTGAATTCATACCTGACTATAATATAAAAATTAAGGAAATCAAAACTTCTTGCAAAATTCTTATCTATGTTCTGTACTATGGATAAAAAGGGAAATAAAATTGAACTTGAAACAAAATTGTGCAGTCTTCTGGAACAATTTTATTTTGACCACTTTCCTCATAAAGATGTGAGAAGCAGTCTTGGTATTTTCTGTCAAAGAAAATATGAACTTCATCAGGGATGTAATTTCTTTGATTATAAAATTAGAAGTACATAAAGATCTGCAGTACTCAAGCCACACAGCAACGTATTTTTTAACACAGATGAAAATCTGCCTCCACAGATGTTTTCTTCAAGTTTAACAAAGTTCAATGTTAAAATTAGTTTATGAAGATTGATGTAGCTTCGTGGCAGAAGGTTAATAATCATTCTCTTTAGAGGGTGTTATATTTAATTATCTGTCCAAAATTCACCTTCGAGCCCACTTAGATTATTACCTGATTCAGAAAAAGCAGCAGGTTTCACAGGGGGTAGGCTGTGTAGTCCACATTGGCCAGCATTTGCTCCAGTTCTGGGCTACAGGAGCAGGCAATGCTGAATCATGGACTACATAGGGCATGAAACATCCAAGGAGATACCACAAAGCTGTCAGCAAATTGCTGAGTGCTTCAGGGTAGTTACACCTTATCTGGATGTTGTTAGCGCCAGACAGCATTTCTGGTAGAAGACATTTCTATCTGCAGTATCTGAGACATACTATGTGACACTATGCCAGGAGGGAATTACAGTGAGGCAGTTCTTAGCTGGGCAGCAGAGCTGGCTGTTTTCTGCTACTGGTGAGATCTGGTCCCTTATAACTGTTCTCTGAAAGGCACAGTAAATCAGGAACAGGAGAGGCCCAAGTGTGGTAGTACAAGGGTGACGCTGCTGTTCACGGAGAAATGTCAAGACCCTCTTAGAAACCTCTAAACCCCTTGCCGTGTGGGTCACTGTGGGTCCCTGTAGCAAGCCTGTAGTAGAAAGGTGCCTGAATCATCCCTGAGCTGACATCATACTTTGGCCTGGGGCATTAACTTGCTAAGGCAGCAACCTTAACTGATGAGAGAGAATGTTTTCTCTGGATATGTCATTGTATTTCCAATATGACATACATATAGGCTTATTAATCAAACTATGTTTGTGCATGTCTTTGGCCTAAAATTTAGAAATGCAATGAACAGTGAACAATGAGAAGTTAGTTTGGGGTTCCAAAGGCATGTTTGGTTTTGTTTTATTGCATGGTACTACAGCAAGCCCAGCCTAGTGGGGGCTGCTGGAATGGCCCATGTAAATGAGCAGCTCTGGTTCATGGTTTATAACTAGCACAAGTAGTGCAAGCAATTTAAGTATTTTGTTAGTCACTTCTTCCAATTACAAAAATTTGTAATTGAATTTTAATATTTTTTCTTTAATCTCCAGTATCTGTCATTACTCTCTACTTTGCCTTTCCCCATTCAACTGTATGGATTGTGTTCTAACTCTAAAACAATAATAAAAAATAATTCCATGTATACTGTGCTCTCAATAGGGTAAGTGCATAATCTCTTAAATTGCACTACGGTTCCAAAGTTTGTACACAAATTTCAATAATAAACCATGCTTCAACCCAATCTCTTTTGTGCTTTCAGTGCTCTGAGGGGCTTTTTTTTTTTTTTTGGCTTGTTTTGTTCTAAAGCATTTTCCTACATGGTGTCCCATCTGTGTACCACAGGATTGTTCGTGGTTCTTAGCTGGTCTTCATAGAATCCACGTTCTCTGACTGGGGAAATGAGTCAGCAGAAATGACTATGCATCACTGAACACAGTCTCAGGGAAAATAAAATCCATCTCGTCACACAATAAAACAATGAAATATTACAGCTCACAACC